GCAAGATCCAGGGTATGGAATGCACTTGTGGAGGGCGGAGTGCGCGACAAGGCCGGCTTAGGTGGGTATGGGTTACGTAGGTACGGAGAATTGCCTCGTAGGACGCGATGGATCTTGCTGCTGCATGTGTGAGGTGGGAGTGGTTTGCCTTGGCATGAGATCTCTGGGCAGGTACTAGTTTCCTTCAATGGCATGATGCTGCGATGAAAGATTGTACTCGTGTGTAGCTTCCTCTGAACACTTCTGAGCCTGACACAGTAATGGTCATCCACATCCATTAGCAATAATATAGACCAGCCCTAGCCAGATCTTGACAGCTATGCGCGGACTACAATTACCTGTCCTAACAACGGCGTATGCACGACACCATGTCTAAGCGTAGTGCTTGCCGTTAGACTCCGGTTGGCCTGCCGTATACGCCATCAGGGCATAAGTCGAGATAAGGCGACCGTTGGACTCGCAAGCTGGATCAGGGAACTCTCCAATGGCCTTCCCCTCTGCTACACCCTAGTCTTTCGCACACTGAAGATCATTGTAAGTTGTAGAAAATGCTACACAGAGGTGCAGAGGCGCTGCACGTCTCGGCACAAACCCGGTGGATTAACTGGTTAAACTGCCAGGCAAGCAGTGGTTGAATACAGGAGGCGCGGTAGCGTTATCTCCTGCCTGAATCGTGTAGCTGTCGTGTTGAGAAGGTCTGGAGCTTTGGAGGCGTGGTGGTGCAGGCAGATATGGAATACATCCGGGCGACTACGTGGATTGTCGCAGGTCGCTTAGTAGGGAAAAACGGAGATAAGGTAGCGTCACCTGAGACCAAAGGAAGCCTCGGAAGATTTTCGACTGTCAGCTCCGCCAGCAGCCCGCGCATCTTTTCTTCATCACACCATGGCGCCAGCAACGACTCCTTCGTTCCTACGCAACCAGGCTATCTTCGGCTTACCCTCACTAAAGACACATACAGGGGCGCGGATCCGCCTGCGGCCTGTCCTCACCCCCGCACGATGCGAAGCACGCGCCTCACCACCGGCTAGATTCCCCAGGAACGTTCATCGAAAAGCAAATTAGTACCACATGGCACTGGCATTGGCGTTGAGTGAGCGCGGCCTTGTTATGCAAGGCCAATTGTGTACTCAGCATGAGCAGAAAAACTGGCCCTATAGCATAACGTGCTTCTGCGACGTGTAGGGGTCGCGTCATCCCCTTACTCCATGCGGCGTTGGCTTGGTCAGAAACATCCCACGAGATCTAACCAGAGAGCATTCTAGCTACACCAACGTGGTGGGTTTTACTGACTCTCGCTCCACTCATCTCAGCATCTAGCGCTTGCGCACCGACTGACTTGTGAGGACCCGCATGTCGTCCGGCTTGCAAAGAGCGGGTATGCATGCTGAGATTTCGTATCCCAGTTTTCTACAGCTATGCACGGCTCTTAGAGGTTGAGCTTACTTCAAGCGCCTCTTCGCGTCGCTTCTATCTCGGATTACTTATTCCTAATCAAACTGGTTAGGCCTGCTGAGTGCCCTTGGACCGAGGCGCGTCGTCCTTGCCGAAAGGCTATACCTTCCCCTTCTTAAGTCAAGAAATATTCAACCTGGCTCCATCTGTTTCTCCCTCCGCTACGAATCGCTGAATTCTCCACCCTGCCGCGTCAAACATCATAACCTTTTGCCAAGCTATCTTGATAGTCGCCCAAGAGGTCGAAAACGTAGAGACCGCCAAGCCTCTTGACCTGTCTCAACATCCCTAAAACCTTTCTGGAACCAAAACACACAGACGTCTCCATCTACGGAGACCCCAGATCCACGAGCAGCCCGTTCCCACTGGCGGACAAGAATTGCCAAGTACATTTGAACCCACAATCAGCCTCAAATTGCGTCGATCATACACGTACCATTTGTACACATAGCCGGACGCTTACGCACGCGAAACAAGTGCCTTCCGCAGTCTTATCAATTCACGGACGAACCGCGCCATCTAAAGCGGAACATCATTAGCGCACCGGACCCATACGATCGCCAGGGTCAATTACAGCTCCACGGCCAAGACACAGCGCGGAAGCATCTGCGACATCCCGCGCTGCAACCCCAGGCTTCCTCTCGATTTTGGCTCCAGCTCTTTCATGCTAGACGAAGCTAGACACGTTTAAACTACGCACTAGGCAGGATACACCGGAGACTCAAGCGCGTCGGACCTTTACTTTTGGCAGATCATCAAAACGCTCCAGCCAGTTACAGAGGTCACTTGACACACGCGAGCCCCGGCGGAACTTGCTTGGCAGCGCTACCCACGGTACCCACGCACAACACCGAACTTGAGAACTTTCACAATTGATAATCTCTCGGGCAACATATAAGAAGTCCCGGCCGCCTTCTGCCATCCTCCAGAACACCAACACTGCCTCTCCATAAAACAAGTCTTCCCAACCAACACCATTACCTCCAACCAACGCCTCACCACCCACTTACCAACAACCAACACCCAATCTGGCGCAATGTCTTCCACTAGCTCAACCTACCACATTCCCTTCCCGAAAAACTTTCTCACTGTCAACACTCCCGTCAAGAAGGCAGCCAACCCCGGTATTCAATCTCCCACCGAGCCCGTCGTGCCTGCTCACGGGTTTCTATCCAACCGACCCGCGCGCCACCAGTCTATCTCCTCCGTCTCCAGCATCACCAGCAGCGTTGCCGCCCCACCCTCCGAGACTAGTACTATCAGCGCGCCATCTTCTCCCGCCACAAAGGCTGTCGATTCACCAGTCCTTGGCCCGAAGATTTTCGCTCCTCTGGCGGTTAACGCAAAGCATGCGCTTCCGCCGACCTCTTCCTCGGAGATGAGTGCGGCTGAGAGGCAGAGGCGCATGAGCTTTGAGAAGCACACTTTTTTGTCCAACAAGCACTGAGTGTGGACGATACTTCTATCGCATGGAGTTGCAGGAAGCAAAACCCTATACGCCTTTGACAGCGATTCAGCATCATGGAACAGCGACAGGAGTTCTGGTCGGGCGTTAACGATGTCATGATTTTCCTTTTTCTCTCATACAAAAGTCGATATACCACAAAAGATCCCTCACGGCCGTCAAGAGAATGGATGGGGGTGGGCATGGGCAGGCGTTTACTTTTGGGGGGTTTGACTAGCCGCCGGGAGCAGGCAGGCAGGCAGTACAGTACATTGAACAGTACGAGTCACATTACTATGAATCCAAAGACATTCAAAACTTGCATTCGCTCTTCACGCCGTTCTTTCGCAATGTGATGTCGTGACCATGTCGAGTGCTGCGCATACCTTATAAGGTATAGCTGAGAATAGCCGTAAGAATAACCACGACTATGTCCCCACACCTTTTACCCTAAACCTGTGTATTGATATGCAACTCACAACTTGTATCTCGTAATACTGTCTTCTTTCCCCCACCAACCACTCATGTTTTCGCATGTCATTTCCTGAAGTGGACAATACATCACATGCGCAGACTAGCTTGTCAATTTGAGTTTCCGCCCCGCCCCTCCCCCCCACAGATATGACAGAGCTTGTGTGTTGCATCTAGTTATGCAGAAGTAACGTAAAAGTAGCATTGCAAAGGGGAAGAGGGAAGGGAGCACGTGAGCGTTTGATTGGTCGAAAGCAATCGCAAATCACTCACGTCTCATCATTTGTGATGAGTATTCCTAATGCTTATACAACTCGCTCCCTTCTCTGTATGAAATCTCGAGCTCTGCATACCCCTGATCGAGGAAAGGTGTATAAAGTTTCCTTAGCTTAATGTCGATGTTGAAACAAATGAATACCAAGCCAAATGTCTCCCAGCTCCGCCAAACAACCGCGTGATTCTAAACACCCTTCCCTATCCCTTACACAGCCAAACAGCCTTCTCCAGCCCTTGCACCCCAATGGAAGCTAGTTAACTTGACCAACAAGTTTAGCTTTCAAAGTCCTACATCACACATCATTTGCGTTTCTTTGAACCATCGTCCAATTCCTCATCACACTTTGCGCAAATGCGCAGTTAACAAAGAGGGACGCGCGGTCTCGGCACGTTGCGGCGCGACTATTCGGGTTATATTGATTACATTGTGATGATGGGGATTTGACGAACAGGGTGTAAGGTTGGCTTGTTGCGCGAAAGGAAGGGATGATAAAGCCACCAATCAACGTTTGCGAAATCCGAGTTCGGTATCCGGTGCTTTCGTAGGAACGTGTTAATCCTGAGACGCGAAAAAAGTACGTTGGCGTTGGTAGCAACTGCTCCTGCGCTGAATGCATGCGTTGTTGCTTGAAACCGATTCACGAGAATGCGAAACTACTGTGGATCATACTTGTTGTTTGCAGTTCAATAACATCTGTATTGGTATTCGAAAGTGGTGGCGTACATTATATCTGCGCGAACGCTATCGGGGGGAGCCATGAAGAAACCGTCGCACAAGGGCCGTCGTAGTTATGAGTCGATAAAACTGTCCAGAGTTCCTCCTCCGTTATTTGACCATGACGCGAGAGACAGAGAAAAGTAAAAAGATGTGATCGAATAAGACACAAATAAAAGGCATATCGTAAAAGAGAGACTATATAGCATACAAGTCCTCTCCTCGCGGGCGAAACCCCGTACTGATGGGGAGGGGAATTCAGAATGGGGGTGCGCATTCAACTTTTTTCCTCTCTGGCCTCTCTCTCCGGCTTATCTCTCTCAGTCCATAGTGACATATTGGGAAAAAGGGAAAAGAACAACGAGATTTCGGGGGAGGTAAAGGGGAACCAAAGTTCAGCAGTCGAAGAAACCCGACCCCGCAGAGAGAAGTTATGTTCCGATGAAAACAGGCCCATTATCCAAGACAAGAAGGAAGGAGCAGGTCCCAGGGAATCTTTAAACGCCAAAAACACCAATGCTGCGCTCTTTGTATGATAGCTAGAGGCAATGATATCTCCCAAAGTTCCCGTTTCGTGACCGAGGATGTGCATCATGAATGGCACGATCGGGAGTAATGATCGTAAAGGGCTCGTGTATTATGTAAATGTATGGGTATGGCGGAAGGAGGAAGCTGAGCATGTCGGAGCACTCATAGTTCGTATGCGTGGCCGTCAAGAGTTGGGGTCGGTGCTGCGTAGACGATCATAGTATGCCGGAGTCTTTTAGCGCGTTCTGCAGTATTGTTTCCTTGACAGCGGCAAAGACGAGCCGGATGTTGGATGTATCAGTGGCTTGTGTTAGGCTAATAAGGTCAGCATGCGTGAGGGGTTCGTGAGGGGGGCTTCTTACTGAGGGTATAGGTTCAAGTGTGCTCGGTTGACCTGGTTGAACCTCCACAACAGGTACTTGGCGGCACGATTGACATCATTCCCACCAGAGTAATCTGGAAAGTAATTGCCAAGTGGAGATCGCGCAAGTTTCGCTTTGAACAGATCGACCTTGTTGAGGAACAGGATAATACTGGTCCTCATGAACCACCGGCTATTGACTACCGAATCGAAGAGCACTAAGCTCTCCATCATTCGGTTCTGCAGGCGCGAGTCAGTAGGAGACAAGAAGCTGGACGTGATGACATACTTGTGAGCTTTCTTCTAACAAGACTTGATCGTATTCGCTCAATGCCACGCAGAAGATGATTGATGTGACGTTTTCGAAACAGTGTATCCATTTCTTGCGCTCGCTCCGTTGGCCCCCTACGTCGAACATACTGTTTCATGTTAGCCCGACAACGACAGCACGGTTTGAAGCAGTGCACATACTGTATGCTGAGCTGACCCATTGTAAATCGTGTTTCGTATATACCGGTGGTCTTGGTACGCGCCCGCAAGACGTCGGATTCGATTGGTACATAGTTGGGGTCGGATATCCGTTCTACCTCATCGAAGAAGCTGCAAACGTTAGTGGAAAAACGGGGAGATGATGCGCAAACATACTATGGCGCAGAGTCCATGAGATAGAATTCGCTCGAGTGCTCCAGGACTTTGCCGACGCATGGGTCGCTCCACATGGATGTGATGGCCTGGCCTACCCGTACATCGAGGGGTTTCTCAGGGTCGGGGTCGACTGTGTAGTCGAGCAGGTAGTCGCAGAGTTGGGCGTTGCCTGGCTTCTCGGGGCTAACGTCGAATTGTCGCATGGCGCCAATGAGGGCTTTTGCGCAGTCAATGACGTTTTTGTATATGGTCAGGCGGTACATGGCGAGCTCTTCCTGCGTGTAGCCGTTCTGATGTATGATCTTCATCTGCTTGACGATGGTCGACTTTCCGCTCTCTCCGGAGCCTGTAGGATGTGTTAATTATTGCGTTGGCACGCAGACAGGCTGGAGCTACTCACCCAACAGCAGGATCTTGCATTCCCGCCGTAACCGTCGCGAGTCCTCCTCGAGCTTGCGGTCAATAGCCTGGCTGCGCTTCTTCTGCTCGACATCGTCGTTGTTGGTGCTCATGCAGATGCCCATAATGCCGGCGTGTGGTGCGGCTCGCGGCCGCGGGCGTTGGGGGGGAGTCGGGCACGGGATAATGATGGAGCACGAGGCTCAGCGCGTCGCAGAACCGTCGGCGTGGAGTGGAAGCAGCGATGGGAGCGAGGCTCTGGTCCGGATGGCGGCGTGACGGCTGGCGCGTTGCTGGAGCTGTGGTGACGCTTGGTCGGCTTAATCCGACACGCAGCTCCGTCAAAGGGGGCCTCGCGAGGTGAGCGGGCGCGGCAGCGTCGTCGCCAGCGTGGACGGCGGCAACAATGGGAGCGGGGTCGGGCTGGCGCGCGAGGACGGGCTGGGGTTTGGAATGCGACGGTGGTGGTGGTGTTGTATGGTTGGTAGGGTCGTCTTGGTGAGCTAGATCGGAGACTCCAGGGCTGCCAGTGGCTCGTGCGGAGGTGCCTTCCCCAGTAAGTTGATGAGGAAGGCGCGGGATCTGGAGAAGGTGCAACCAACAACAACGTCGCCCGGCGCCAACGCAGTGCCTGGGGATATTGATTGTGGGAGGTGCGCGTGGCAAGAGGCGTGATACAGATGCGTGGGCCGTTCTTCTCGCAGCGCAAATCGTGAATCACGAATGGGTGATGAATGTGAAGGCGATGATGGCAGCAGGCGCGATGCTGCTAAGCCTCATCCAATCGTGGATGCTAGGGCAGCGATCAGGGTAAATGGCACGAGCCAAGCAGCGGAACAGGACGCGCTGAAGCGAGGCAGAATGCAATAGTGCTGGCGGAAACTGGCAGTGGGGATGCGATGCGATGCGACGCAAGGTAATGGAGGTGTTGGTGCCCTAACAACGCTCGAGGTCGTGTGCTACCTAGGTACGCCGTCGTGCCATGGAGCGTGGCTGCCAGATCCGACGTGCCTCTATCATTGGCAGATTGGCCTTGTGCTTCAAGAGCTCGGCTTACGACCCGCGGCTTTCCAACACTGCCTTCACGGCGGCCCCTTGATACAACGGCCCCTGCACTACGCGCTGCAGTTGTGCCTCCAAACGTCTATATACAGTACCTGCAGTCTGCACTTTGCGGTGCTACACCTCTGTTGGCTTCACGATGTCTCCCCCGTCCAATCGACCAATCGCTCCGACCAGCTCAGCCCCCAATCTTGGAGGGTCTCAATCTGGAACGCCTCTACGATAGAGTTTACGTCGTCGCCCAGCCAGCGCCAACTCCACCTGAACGACATGCAACGGCGTTTTCGAGTTAGACGTGTCCGTGGGGCTGGTCCCCCCAATGTAAAGGGTTCTAATTTAAGCTGGGTACTTTCATCCAATGGCCCTGACTGAAGTTGAATGCGAGCGTCCTGCCACAAGACTGGCTAGCTGTGAAGGACGCTAGCTGAAAGCTGACAGATACATGTGTCGGGCCCAGCTCCCCACCTTTGCGGACAATGCACCTGGGACATGTTCTGATGTCGTGCATTATCATTGTATCTGTTCGGGAATGTCAAACAGACAGATTCACTAGGGCCACATGTCAGCAATCGCTTGCACGTTTCGTGTGGTAGTGGCCCTGTTCCGTGATAGCCGCAGCATACCATTCACACACGGTCGGCGCGAGCCGCAAACGAAGCATTACGCAATGTCATATCAGGGATGCCACGAGGGCTGGCAATCGGCCCTTGAAATCAGGTACCGCCGTGGATAGTGAAAAGTTCAAAGACGTTTGTGCTCTGGCTAACATTTACGGTATCGATGTAATAGCATATCAGCGTATCAATTTGCTGACTTGTACGCAATGTATTCGATAGCGGAACGTGGGCATTGTTAGAAAACGCCGTGTATGTCTCTCATTATGGCCTACCTTCCCCATGATTTGATCAGTAATAAGTAGATATGATATCAGCAGGGAGACCTAGCTCAGGTCCTACACCCAGGGAAGGTCCAGCTGCCCAGGCATGCCCAGGTGGTGTCTGCCCGTACAGTGTCAGAAGGAGAAGGTAAGACAGCTGCATGTCACCGTTCAGGGCAGCCAACGTAGTGCACGGGCCACTTCCCACGTGAAATGAGGGGTGAATGGGAGTGAATACGGAAAGAGCTTCGAGGTGGTAGTGGGGTACATGGACGAGACAGCAGACATCGTTGTGATGGCGTGTCGCAACCTTCAGCCGTATCCAGTAGAAGCACGGTAAATGCCTGCGCTAGACGTGAAGCACAGGCTGTAATGGAAAACTCGAAAATCCATCGTGACGTCACCAGAAGAAGCCGAAACCTGCGTGAGCGACACTGGTGCGCGGGCCATGTGCATGTGTCCCTCTATCGCATTTGGTGCCTGCCCCTCGTTGTCTTCTTACCTTCACCTCTTCCTTTCCGCACTGATCTGCATCTTCGCCACGCCCTCGAGCCTCATCCTTGTGTTGCACATAGTCTGAGGTCATCCCGTCGGTGCCTCGATTGTCTCCGCCGACCCGCTTACTGTCAACATTGGACTCCAAGCGGCAATCAGCAAACCCCAACGTGTTCCAGCCGTCGACGCTCGCGACATCCCTGGTGCAAATTCTGAAGCCTGCGAAAAGGATTCCTCGGAGCCGTTCTCGCGCAAGCCCTTCATTGCCGGACCCAGCCACCGAGCCCAATAGAAGCCGCCCTGATCTAGCAGCGTCAACGTGCAACTAGAGCCCCGACGTATTCGCGACTACCCCACGGCTTCCTACTCGCCCTCTTCCACCACCACCACCCCAATTTTCGACAAAGACCCGTCCTCGCGCCTGTCGCATCATCATAATCCCCTTCCTTCACCATGGCGGAATTCGTACGCGCCCAGATTTTTGGCACCACTTTCGAGATTACCAGCAGGTGCGGACATACCCCACATTGCGTTTTCTGGCACAACTGACATCGACAAGGTACACCGACCTGCAGCCCGTGGGCATGGGCGCCTTTGGTCTCGTCTGGTACGGCATCCACACCACCAGACACGAATTGATTGTTGACTCCGGCGCAGCTCAGCCAAGGACCAGCTTACCAGCCAGGCGGTAGCCATCAAGAAGATCATGAAGCCCTTCAGCACTCCGGTCCTGTCGAAGCGGACATACCGCGAGTTGAAGCTTCTGAAGCATCTTCGACACGAGAATGTGGGCAATGCAGCAGCCAGTCCCCAGCGAAAACTCTAACACCGACCAGATCATCAGCCTGAGCGACATCTTCATCTCTCCCCTCGAGGACATGTAGGTAGCCACATTACCGCCAACCCAAGCAAGTACTAACCCGCCCAGCTACTTCGTCACCGAGCTCCTCGGAACCGACCTCCACCGCCTGCTCACCTCCAGACCGCTGGAGAAGCAGTTCATCCAATACTTCCTGTACCAGATTTTGGTGTGTGGCAAAATTTCAACCATCCAAGAAAATGCGCTGACCTGAAAAGCGTGGTCTGAAATACGTCCACTCCGCTGGTGTCGTGCACCGCGACCTGAAGCCCAGCAACATCCTCGTCAACGAGAATTGCGATCTCAAGATTTGCGACTTCGGTCTCGCCCGTATACAGGACCCTCAGATGACGGGTTACGTCTCTACCCGATACTACCGAGCGCCTGAGATCATGCTCACATGGCAAAAGTACGACGTCGAGGTTGATATCTGGAGTGCAGGCTGCATCTTCGCTGAGATGCTCGAGGGCAAGCCGCTCTTCCCCGGCAAGGACCACGTGAACCAGTTCTCCATCATCACCGAGCTTCTGGGTACTCCCCCAGATGATGTGATCCAGACCATTTGCAGTGAAAACGTAAGTAGATGCATAAAACCTTCAAAGCAATTTCGCTGACTTCCCCAGACACTGCGATTCGTCCAGTCACTTCCCAAGCGCGAACGACAACCCCTCTCCAACAAGTTCAAGAACGCCGAGCCTCAAGGTCAGTTTGCATCATCAATAAAGAGAGCGTGGACTGACACAATCTAGCCGTCGATCTCCTAGAGAACATGTTGGTGTTTGACCCGAAGAAGCGTGTGCGAGCGGAGCAGGCCCTTGCCCACCCATACCTCGCTCCATACCACGACCCGACTGATGAGCCAGTCGCGGAGGAGAAGTTCGACTGGTCATTCAACGATGCAGACCTACCTGTCGACACCTGGAAAATCATGATGTACGTATACCCCCAGAGCGTTACGTAGCCATAGCTGACATAATGCAGGTACTCTGAAATCCTGGACTACCACAACGTAGATGCCGCAGCACAGGAGGAGAACAACGGCAGTTAAATACACATAATGTCTACCAATCTCGAGCTACAACAATATTCAGTCTCCAAGACAACGAAGTATGCAGTTGCCGAGGCTCGATGTATCATCTGCCTGGCGCAGGCGGAGTTGCTGTTCCCAATGATTCCCAAGGTCTCGTCCGTTGGACCTATGTGACATGAAGGTGCGCGGTAGATGGAGCATGGGCTTGTCTTTGGCATTTGGATCACCATGACTGGTACACGAAAGGAATGTTATGGTGGAATTGAAGGTCATGGTCGACATAGGTAGGAATGTGAAATCATATTATCAAACATACGTTATTCTTCACTTCCCTTGACATTAGGAGAAGGTGTTTGTTAATGTGCTCCAATGCAATGACCGCATTCGTCACCAACGGGCATGACATCACGGATGCTCAGTGCTCAAGTCAAAGACTGCATGATGTATAGGTGAGATAAAAAAAAAAGGTCTCCAGATCTGTTCTGGTTTCCGTGGCGGAGGATCTCGGGCATTCCCTAACCTGGGAACGGGTGGAGATCGCCGAGGCTTTGACTAGCGCCGTAAGGCTGATTGAGGGACCGCTGTTTCGTCACCGCTCTGAGCGCGTCCGCAACGACTCAAGGACGCGAGCCTGGTCCCTATGGCCCTACAACCTTTGTTTGTACATAAAGTGAATGCTATGCGATAGCACTTCCATCGCACGACAATGGCGACTCTCAACCCACTTGTCTGCGTCGTGGACTTCCACCATGCGCGGTAAGCTTCTCCTTTACAACTAGAGATGCGAGTACGGAAAGAGACGGAGGCAGGATACTGGGCAACTTACAATAACCTGATGGCTATATGATGCGAATGAATGGCTGACTTTTCAATGCAGAGGCCCAGAAGTGGAAACATGGCTCGGGGCAGAAGAGGGAACAGACCCAGCGGTAGACAACGACTGGTCGCTGCTGCCCTTCATGGCCCTGAGCGATGGCGCGCATGCCTCTGCCGAAGACTACTCATACTTTACGCTCCGCCGCGCTCAGACCTCGACCTCACCCGCTACCTCACTCTTTGGTATATCGTGTACGCGACAACTCGATGCAAGCAAGCTTATCGATCGGCCGGCGGAGGTTACAAGGAGCACGGTGCAAAAGGCTGTCGTTGTCATCAGCGATAGCCCGCAGCACTTTGGGGCTATAAAAGCGCAGCTGGGCGTTGTCACCCAGCTGTGGTTCAATCAGAAGTACGTTGGGCTCTCATACTGGAAATCGAGGGCGATGTGAAACTCACACTTGCGTAGAGACTTCACCGATATCGAGATATTGGAGCGCTTTACGGAAAGTCTCCCACAGCTACTTAAGAATCAGGAAGGGCAGCAAGACCATTACTTTGGTATCTCCCTGCGCGAGTTAATCCACGAGTTCAAATGGCAGACTTTGGTTCTTTTCAAATGTGCGCTGCTTCAGCCGAAGGTACGTTTCATCTTTTTTTTAAGTTGAAGTATCGTGCCACGAACATGAGGGAAAACTGACGGAATTCAGGTCCTCTTCTTCGGCTCCCATTGCGAACGATTATGCATGATGCAATTTGCTCTTATTTCACTGATACCCGGCCTTATTCGCCACCTACAAGATGCTGCTGATCCCAAGTTCAATTCGTGTGAGGAAAAGTGTGTCATGCCCACTTCATTAAAGACATCGGAGCGCGCTTCCTGTCAGTGCATGTTCTCATCAATACAAGCGATATACTAACAAGAATCAGTGTTGGCATACATGGGTCTTCCGCTCCAACTTTTCGGTACAGGCTCGCTGTTTGGACCGTATACACCGCTTCAGCAGCTTGATATACTTGCAGATCAAGACACGAAGTCTTACATTGTCGGCTCTACAAACTCGTTGTTGCTCCAGCAAAGAGACCGATACAGCGACATTCTTATCAACTTAGATGACCACACTGTAAACATCACCTCGGCTGCGCTCCGACAGGCATCAATCTTGTCAACGCCAGACCGGAGATGGATGGACTTCTTGACGCAGACAGTCAATGATACCTGGGATGAGGCAGACCCAGCGCGACCCAAGGACCACGGATATGCTGGCAGCGAAGAGTTCATTCGCATGCAATTTGAAGAGTATCTGCTCGCCATGCTCAGCTCCGTCAAGTACAAGCTCTACATGGAAAAGAACGCACACAAGGAGAACTTGATTTCTGAAGTAGAGGGAGATCCAGCAAGCGAATTCTCAAATGAGTGGGTACACGCCTGGATGCAGACTGAGAATTTCCGCATCTGGAACAAGTTTACCGATTCTCACCTTTTCGACATCGTTGACCCCAAACACCCCTGCTCTGGCGGTCTCTCAATGGAAGACGTTCAACGCCGACTAGCACAGTACGTTCCCTCATTCTTTCCATATCCCCATCAGCCCGACTAAAGCAGTCACTTAGTTTGTTTTCCAACACAACCTTCCAAGCCGTATCTTTTGGCGTATGTGTGCTGATGCTCGCGTGGCGATTAGGCAGGTAGCAGAAATGCATCTTGACGAAAGACTAGAAAAGTCGAGGGAAGTCTTGGGTAAACAGCTAGCAGTGGGTCAGCAAAAAGTCAGCTCTGCATACAATCGCCTGTGGGCGGAGATGGAAGCCATGCGTGAGGCACAGAGGAAGAGAGCTGAGGAAGCGCGATTGCAAGCTGAGAAAGAAGGGAGGCCCATCGAAGATGCAAAGAAGTGTAAGTCAGACATGTCGCTTTGCATGCACACTGATGCTGATGACTAAACAGGGAAAGCACCTCAAGCTCCCGATCTCACGAACGCAAAAGCAAGCGCCGGCGCCTACTTCTCCAGCTGGGGCACCTGGGCGAGCGAAAAGAGGAAAGGATGGGGGACAAAGACACCAGTATCTTCCCCTCCGCCGGGCGATATCAAGAGAGCGGAAGACTTCAAGAGAGACAAAGAAGCAATTGTGGGTGACACCCCCGCTAGTCCGCCGCCGCCGGATGTCAAGAGGAGAAGCTTGTTCTTTGACGCCGAGAAAGATAAGGAAGGTGTTGGGAAGGAATGAAAGAGGGATATTTATGGCGAGGCGCACAGAGTGTTAGTGTTCGCACAATTACAAGAGCAGCAATTTAATGCAGCGATCTATAGCGTTCGTTTCGACGAAGTAAATATATGGTATCTCACTTGTTCTAATGTGCACCTTACAGATGGACTGGCTTTTGGGTTCTGTGCTCATGTTCTATTTTGGAAAAGATTACGGTAAATCCGCTTCTGTTAAAGGGGCCAACGCAAACGCGTCTGATCCAATGATAAGCATAGGCACTATACTAGTATCTTTGTCGTGCCTGCGCAATGTTACCTAGGGGAGAAGGGCAGTTTAGTCATTAGCGTCTTGGCCGTCTCGCGCCTCATCAGACGTCTGATTGTCACCACTCTCCGTTCTTCCCCACTTCGAAATCGTCGCCTCGATGTCAGGCGCTACTTATGACCTTTTCAATTCCTGATGTCTCATCTCGGCGTCGCCTTTATCATGTGCATTGTATCCGACGCTGGGTCTATGAAGCAGTTGATCCTCCGGGTGTGAGTGTTGAAGACTAACATGTAATTTGGCCCAGTATCGCGTGTTGCAAAGCTAGGTGCGGTTCTCACATCTCATCTGCCTGTATTTCTGGTTCTTTTCTATTGCGAGCTCCTTCTCTCCAATGTCTCCTTCATCAAATGTTGTGCTTCTTTTGCAGGCTCTGTAGTAGAGATGGTTTCATGCCAGCAGAACATGGCTGAACCTGGTGCAATCATTCGAACTGCTCATGCTCAAGCATTGCTCTCATTTTTGCCTTCTTGCTCAATTGCATTCGCAGAACGTCCGTCGGGAATATGCGGTGTGCGCGTTTGTCCTTGCTCCGGCTTCGGTAGCCACTTCGAAAGTTCCATGCCACGGCGGGTACGAATCAATGTCGCGGTGCGCTCCACACCAGTGCAGTGTTCGATACCACCTTTTCCTCTCACGGTCGTGTTGCATTTGGCACCTGGAAATCATGCTGCCTGCCATGTCACTTTCCCCCAATTCCATCCCAACGCCGCCGAGTACTTGAGCAAAGCTGGCATCATATCCAAACGACAACAGCTCCCGATGCATCTTGCGACACTTTTGATGTTCTCGCTTGCCGGCACCTCGTCCTCTCGCCCCGGTGAAACCCGATTAGGTCTCTACACTGCTTTCACCGCCCACGCTCGCGCTCCTCACCACGCGTCTCTTGTTTTGATCAACACCTCTCACATTCACCTTTATCAACAAAGCTGCCTGGAGAACGCGAGGCGCGTCTTGGGCCCAAGCTTAAACTGCTCAAATCTCAGCTATATAAAGGCTGGCTCCCCGCGTCTCCCTTTACCTCCTCACCCCACCCCAGTCTTGAGTTGACACTTCATCTACTTTGATCAAAGCTTTGCCTTTGACAGCTTCAACCTTCCTTACTCTTGTACACTACCTTGAGACTACTTGCCTGAAGATGTCCGACCCCCCAGCATCTCTGTTTGCAGGTGATGCGCCATCCGCCTCCCAGAACAATGACGTAGCGTCGGTAGTCAAAATACCCAGCACCCCAGATCCTCCCCTTCCCGACGTTGCTTCATCAGTCTCCGAGCTTGGTGATCTAGCATTAGCCGTTCAACTTGTTGCCCACACCGCTAGAGTTGCGCACGATGCAGAGCTAGCCGCCAGCAGAGCTATTCAGGCCGCCAAAGTTGAAGCCCTGGTCGCTAAGAAGGCCAGAAAGGCTGCTACAGCACTCATCGCTAGACACCTCGAAGGCAAGTTCAATTCACACTCAGCGGTCTTCTAGTCATGCTAACAGCTTCAGCTTTTGTTGAGAGTTTCAAGGAGGAACTCAAGAAGCGTGGAGTGTCCATTGACCGTCAGATCTATTACATCTCGGATGTTCTCAACGTATGCTGAAATGTACAGAGCTCGGCGACAACCCCTGTACTTGGCATGCTGTCAAGCTGTTGCTCTCTAAGGACGAGGACGAGGATGAACCGCCCGCCGTTGCCAGCAAGGTAAGTCAATCGAGTTCTGTCTCTATCATCTTTTCTTCTCCTACTTTCTTCATTCATTTCTTCTTGCTCATCCATCCGTACCCTCCCTTGTCTCTCCGAGAACGTTGAATTCACCACAAATTCAGGGCGTCTTGAGCCTCCCCTTTGAGGTGGTGGGCGAGATCGGCAGCCAAATGAGTGTCACGGACCTTAGCAAGATGCGTTTGGTCAACAAGAGCATCAATAAGGCTGTGGCATTTCCATACGGTAAGAAGATTTCTGTTACTGAGAACGTCATCATTTATCCTACTTTTGCGAGCGTTGGAGCGTTTTTGATTGGACTTGGGGTGGATGAAGCGTATCCTGAGACGGTTCGAACAATCACCTTGATTGGCGAGGGACCGGCAGCCCCGGAGTTCAGCTACAGCCACTCTTGGGACTATCTACCCAAGCTCAAGTTCCCCGGCATGCCAGAGCCAACCGAGGACCAGTGGTACGAAGATGCAGAGATCTTGGAGTTCGCCAACGATGAGCACGAGCACTGGAACCGGGTCAACGAGTTATTTTGTTACACTGGCGCATACCGTACCATGCTCAGTAAGTCTCTACCCATCCAACACACTGCAAAGTGCACCTGGACTATGCAAGAGTAACAAAACTAACTCTTGAACAGGCCTCGTACTCGCCAAGCTGCCCAACTTGAAGACGATTCGGACTCGGAAGCTGTACCCCGGCGAGCACATCCCTGGTTGGGCCGGCCCGGAGGCTTTGAAGGAGGTCTCGTCGTACCATCCATGGACTCCAGTCAACACCATATACTATGGTGACTGGAAGTACGACGAGAAGCACAAGCGAGTCACGATGTGGACAGACGAGTACGGTGAAGACATGGAAGAGGAGGATGTTGGCCCTCAGGTTGGCTTCAGGGAGGATCTGGCGGCTGCTATGGTGCTGTCTGGTACTAAGGCTCAGGTCTTCGAAATGCACAAGGAATTGGTCTGATTTGAGATGGATAGGGATGATACTGGTAACTGGTGTGTAATGAGTTGAGATGATATGGACATGACTGCTACATCTACCCAATAGTGGGTCCGGATGGCAAAATACGATGACATTTGCCCAAAATTCCTAGAATTTAAGTGACGCCTGATAGCTACATTGCATCAACACCTTTTTTACACGACTCAGATACACAGGCCGGGTGAATTTCAGTACCTCGTGGCCTTATCGTCCACGACTGCAGATCTCAGTGACTACCTCCCGGCCCCTCTATGGAAATCTCTACAAAACTCAAATATTTATCGAAGCATATCAGCTTTCACCCAAAAACAAAGGTCTTCCAGTTCTCCCCCAGCCTCTTCACACCCTCCTCCAACACCCATTCTTTGATCCCGCATATCCTCCGTATAATATCTTCCAACCTCCTATCCATCTCATCACCCGCAGTATGCAAATCACTCTCCACCAGCAGCATATCATCCGGTACCATCTTAATAATATCCTGAAAAGCCTGTGGCGTCTCCTCCTCATCCAACGCATCCGACAGATTAATCGCCGTACTAAACGAAGCAAAGATCTTACAAGGAATCTCTGGACGCAAGTACTGAGCAAAATTCGACGGGGAACCAGAATATGAATGCAGACAGATGCGCGGCGGGTACGGCTTGGGACTGTCATCTTTTGTAGTAGTACCACCATCAGCATCACCTTCGCCCATCTCATCAGCCTCCAACGCCGCCTCCGCACCCGGATGATCCCTCCCCCTCTTCTTCCTCTCCCGTTTGCTCAACACCTGCCTCTCGCACCCCTTCCACGTCTCAGCCAAGACCTCCAACACCAGTCCATGAGCCTGCACCCCATGCACACTAACCGCCCTACCCATCTCCGCCGCAAGATCAAGCTGCTTTCTAAATATGATCTTCTGATGCGCAGGACTACATCGGAAAGGCGTGAGACGCCTTCCCTCGCGACCACCCGGCGTGAGATTACTGTTGCGCTTCGCCCAGAGGTCAGGGTTACCGGTCCAGGACTCGGGGATGCGGAAGGAGCGGTCGAGTCCGATTTCGCCGATTAGTGCAAAGGGGTGCTGGAGGAGGTGTTGGCGGGTGAGATGGAGGAAGGAGGAGAAGGGTGTGGGGTCGGGGAGGGAAGCATAGGTTTGGAGGTCTTCTGGGCTGGGGTTTGGGCGGTGGGGTTGAAGAACGGATTGGTAATGGGTGATTTTCGCTTGGCCGGTTAGGGGGGCTGGCTGTTCTTCTGTTCCTTCTCCTTTAGAGCCCGGCTCGGAGATGTACATTTGGTAGGAGAACCAGGGGTGCCAGCCGAAGCAGGGGACGATGCATTCTTCTTTTGTCCATTGAGATGGGTTGGCCGATCGGATGCTGTGCTCGTTTGCGGTGGCTAAGACGAGGTCTTGGTCTTCGGCTCTGGTTGCCATTACGGTGAGGATGCGCGCTTTCATGTTTTGGATGGTTTGGATGCTCGACATGGTGTCTGTGGGGTGGCAGTGTGCGTCGTAGACTCCGAGGTGCCATGGGAAAGGCTCGTCTTTGTTAGGTCGTGTTGACATCTTGCGCTAAAGAAAGAGATATCTCTAGATCAAGATGTGTAGAGAATTGGAATGCTCTGTGTTGTCGCGTGAAGCAAATCTACATTATGACGTGCATGTGAGGCTACGCGGGTGATCCCTGTCGGGCAACGCGCTTTCCGGATTACCCCACGACCCCACCATCCATTGCTGCATGCCAGCTTCCGACAGCTCTACATTACCATGACCGCCGCTAGCACAGCTCTTTGCAGCATTCGATCTAGACCTCTAACCTATCCTGAGTCGTAGTCTGCCTTGCCTACCCCAGTTTAGGACCTCGGCTACTACGAGTACTCAGGAAAGGGCCAACCTCATGCCATTTGCTACTTACGGATACATGCGCATGCGTATATGCATAGTGCAAAGGGCCAAATGTCTAGACCCACCAGGTAGACAAGTGCCCATCCTTTATACGGAAGATGTCAGCCTAATAGCAAACGCCACATTCCGCGCTACCTCATACGCGACCTTTGCACGGAATGTATTCGAGTGTCACTTTACGCCCCGGGCTACGATCGACGCTAGATCAGCTGCCTTACTTCAATCACACTCTATTGAGATCCACCAGTGAAGGAGTCTGCTAGAAGCATGTCTGCCTGATCTTACTCCAGGACCGAGGATGTACTTTCTCCGCATAGACTAACCCCTCACTAGATACGCCCATTCGCTTGATAGTCACTTGAGCAGTCTAGTATATGTACTCGTACTTGATATCACTTTTACTTCACTTCTACTTGTCATTATCATCTTTCTTCCTATCTACGTCAAGTCTCTCTCTTATTACAATACGCTACTTTATCCCATAGCAAACACAGACAACCAAGATCATCACCCACGAACCTCACTCCAACTCCATACAACTCCACCACTATCATAATCAAGATGCCACCCCGTCTAGCCAACAAAATCGCCGTAATAACCGGTTCCTCCTCCGGAATCGGCCGTGCCACAGCCCTAGCCTTCGCTTCAGAAGGCGCCTCGCTCATCTGCTCCGACATTACCGAAACCCCCCGTCAAGAATACGCCACAGACACCTCTCCCCAGACCACCACCGTCCGCGCCGCTCACGACCTCGGCGCAAAAGCCCTCTTCGTAAAATGCGACACAACCTCCTCCACCGACGTCCAAGCCCTGATCCAAGCCGCAGTGCAAGAGTACGGTAGAATCGACATTATGGTCAACAACGCAGGAATTAGCATGGAAGCGAGTGAACATGGGAGTCGGCCCGTGTGGGAGTACGAAGAAGCGGCTTTTGAGCGGACGGTCGATGTGAATATCAAAGGTGTTTTCTTGGGTACGAAGTATGCGAGTAAGCAGATGGTGGGGCAGGAGCCGGGGGAGAGGGGGGATAGAGGCTGGATTATCAATTTGAGTAGTGTTTATGGGTTGAGGGGGTCTGTGGGGGTTTGTAAGTTCTTTTCATTGTTGTTCTTTCTGAACATGCGACTTTGATGTCTCTGAGGAAATGGAAAGCTGATCATTGTGAATAGCGGGCTACGCAACCTCCAAACACGCCGTCATGGGTCTCACAAAATCTGCTGCACTGGACTGCGCGCCCTACCGTATTCACGTCAACGCCCTCTGTCCAGGTTACACAGCTACGGCCTTCATCTCGTCACTACTCACACCGGAAGCAGCGGATATGAAGAAAGAAGTCGAGACGAGACATCCGTTTGGCGGACTAGGTACACCGCAGGATATTGCTAGGGCGGCGGTCTTCTTGGCGAGCGAGGATGCGGGGTGGGTTACTGGGATTGGGCTGCCGGTTGATGGGGGGTTTAGCTGTATGTGAGGTGCTGTGGCATGGAGTTATGGGCGGATGGATGGGTTTGCTCGACTGGAATTTGGACATTTCGTGCACTCTGCTTAAATTGGCATGGTGGTTGGGAGCATATATCATATGGTCGTGAAGGGAGCACCGAGCTTCAGGGTACAGAGCCGGGTGACTACTATCAGGTGGGGGAAGAGGCATTCTTCCACATAAGTAGGATATCTTCTGCAAATGAGTGTTTAATCTGTTTCATTGATTTTGTGGATTATACTAATCACTCTGTACTATGCTATGCCTTTAGGCCGTCCCAAGTCCTCAAAACAACACCCCTATGTACACCCAGTCAACGTAAAGTGACGACGAAGAAAGTCCCAAAGTGTATAAAAAAAAGAAAACAACTGGTTTGGGGAAATCGTCGATTGAGGGAGAATGCAGGGACAAAGAAACCCAAAACGCCGCAGCTATGCATAGCTTTCAAGAGTAAAAGGACCTAACAGAGGGTGTACGAGAACGGAGTCGACTAGGAAAACGGAGAGAGTGCGAATGGAGAGGGTATCGCCGCCGGGGGGACAAGGCCGACATGTGTAAGAGGTGGTCGTGCTCCTTGGTACTATGCAAAAGGTGGATCAGTCAAGCTGAAGGGTCGGAATGTAGTGTGGGGATATAGGTGGCGTGGTGGAAGGGCCGAGGGAGTGTGGGAGAATGTATGGAGGTGTTTGAGGCACTACCTCGCTACACGGTGGATCAACCTGTGGTGGATTAGTAAAGAACGCAGCCGTGGGGTTGCTTGAATGTGTAAACTTACCTCAGCGTGCTGATGGAAAAAGTGGCAATCCATGCAAGCAACGCAATTAACAGTGTCGCTGTCAAGCCCTTCTGCCTCTCACAAATGCTCTGTCGGTATGGACACGCATTTGTCCGATCGGATTCAACGCATGCCCATTTGTCATCCGTCAGGGCCTGGAAAGCCAGACTAAGGTTTGCCGACTCGAAGACGATGAAGGCCAGGTCGAGAAAGATAAGCGACATTTTGGCGTTGGGCGAGCGTAGACCGAGGGGCTTGGATGTGTATTCGTCGTAGGTGATGTAGATGGTGTATAGGACAGCTACAATGTCGACGAGTATGGCCATCCAGGTAGACGAGTTGTTGCTACAGCCATTATTGTCCGAGTGGCGGTAGATGGAGCACGCAAGCGAGAGGGCGAGGATAGAGAAGACGAGGACGATGGCGCGGACCAAGGCGGGGACCATGGGGTGGTTCATGATGGTGTTGTGGAAGCGCATCAGCCGGCGCTTTCTCTTTTCCGAGGTGAAGAGCCAGAAGCCCTTGATGTGCTCGTCGCCGAGGCCGTTGTCGATGGGCTCCCACTTCTGCTCGAGGTCGGGCATGTTCTCCTTGAGCCAGTCATCGTCGACGATCTGGCCACGTGAGGAGATAGGGCGGTCGTGGTTGGAGGCCTGCGTGAACTGCTTCCACTTGGGCGCGCTATCACTGACGGGCGTCGAGAGGGTCACGGGAGCGCCCTCGCGAGCATGGTCGAATTTGCGGCCTGGAACGCTGGACTTGGGGGTCGGACAGAAGTTGTGGTTGGCATGGCGGACGTTGGTGGGCGTCCTTGGTAGGAGCAGGCTGGAGGCGTCTACATTTTCGTCTTCGTCGTCGGCGGACTGGACCCAGGGCGGTAGTGAGCGGACGGCACGCTGCCTCTCCCTGTTCTCCGCGCTCGCGGTTATGCTCCGGTTAGAGGACGCCAGCGTGCGTGGAGTGCTGGATATCGACTGCGAGTGGCTCTTGCGGACGGGGGGCAGGCCGTCTTGACTGTCCTTGGAGTTGCCGGAGACGGCGCTGACTCGCGACTGGGGGCGCTGGGTCGAGGTGAGGGACGAGGCGGTGGGGGGCGGAATGGGCGAGGGCAGCAGGTGGTGGCTGTTGGAGTGGGACGAGTTCAGCGTCGACGCCTGCGATGTCTGGCTGCTCCCCTGGACGACGGCGTCGGGGCGGAGGTGGGCATTGCTGCTGCTGCTGCTGGTACCATGGCCCGGGTCGCTCTTTCGGGGCTCAACCATGGGCGTGCTGGTCATCCTCGAGGGGAGATGTGAGGGGCTTCCTCGTCGCACGACCAAGCACCAGCCGGTGTGTCGCGCCTGCCTGCACGCAGCAAGCTTCGAGGGCTTGGCAGTGAATCAGCACCGGGGGAGATTACGTGGGAGCAAAGTAGACGAGTCGCAACGACACCATGTCCGGCCTAGGAAGTGACGGGGCGCAGTGCAACAGTGCGGGTAAACAAGACAAGGAAACAGCGAACGACGAGAAGGTTAGAGTTTGGTGGTGCGCCTGGGGGTGGTGGAGCGTTGGGTGCGTGCGCGCGCGCTGGCCGGTGTTGGCGTCGAAGGGGAGATTGCTTGTTCGTCGATCAGGGAAACAGGGATTGCGCGCTGGCCAGCATGCTTAGCCTGGGGTGAGGTCATGGGTCCGCAGTAGCCTGTCGTCAAATTCGGACAACACGACAGCCAGCTAACGATTTCGGTGCCTTGGTCTCTACGCGACTCGACCTGCGTCATGTCTCACACACCTGTCTTGAGAGTTTGTTAAATACGCGCAGCATTGCGCTTACCTAACCACCCACCAAGACCGTCTCCCCCACCAGCCCCACGATCCTCCCATCCCACGATGCGTCTCTTCCTGCTGCCCATATCCACGCGTCGCTCCCTCATCTACTGCGAGAAACTGCACGAGAAAGCCCCCAAGGATCGCTCCTACTATGACAAGATCACCATAAAAGCCAATGAGACCTGGGTCGCCTGGGAGAAAGATGAAAAGGCCATCTGGGACTGGAAGAAGAAAGTCACCTTCTACGGCAACCAGGCCCTGAAGCGCATACCCTACGAGGAATGGGGGCTCAAGACCATACCCGCCCTCACGGCGAAGCGGAGGCAGGACATTGTGGACGGAAAGGCAAAATATGAGGTCCTGTTCCCTGGAAAGTACCTGCCGCAAGAGAGAGTGTCTGGGCTGCTGGAGAAGCTGGCAAAAGAGAGGCAGAACATGCACCGCACCAAACTCATCTGGAGCGTCGTCATCATGCCCTTCACCGCGCCCTTCATGCTCGTCCCCGTCATTCCCAATCTACCCTTCTTCTACGTCCTCTACCGGGCATGGAGTCATTGGAAAGCCTTCAGCGGCTCCAAGCACCTCGAATTCCTCCTCAAGCACAACCTCCCTACCCCTGCTCCATCAGGCACGCTCGACCAAGTCTACACAGCCGGACTCATGTACCCAACTCGCGCGCTCTCGCGTGCTGCTCCCGACCCAACCCCACAACAAGCCCAGCAGGTCGCCAATGTCGTGCACCAGCAGACCAACAACGAGACTGAAGACGTCATGGTTTTGCAACGGTGGAACGGAAAGCTCATCGCCGAGCAATTTGACCTACCCGACATGGAGGTTGAGATTGAGCGCGCTGTCGAACAAGTCGAGAATGCTATCAAGTCAAAGGAGAAGAGGATAGAGGAGAAGCTGGAGCAGGAGAAGGCTGCTGGGGGTAACGGCACAAGGGCGAAAGACGCACTGCCTGAGGACATCCTGGAGAAGATACACGACAAAGCTGAAGATGTCGCTGAAGAGGGCAAGCAGAAGGCGAAACGAGCAGCCAAGTCATGATCCCATATCATGTCCCAACGAGGTACGATATCATGGTTCAAGATTCACAAACAGCATGGGCGTTGGAGGCTATATATGTACTATATCACATAGAGTGTTGACATCTGTATGATTGGATGCTTTATGAAAATAACGATATACGATCAATCTCTTTATTGACGGACTGGTGACATGGTAGCCGGGATGTCTCCAAGGTATCAGCCCCAAGTACGAGTCCCCTGGCAACATGTCGAAAGCTCTCAGGCTGCACTATTATCCATCGCTCTGAGCCCACAGAGCGACCTGTCATCGTCCAAGCACCTTCCAGCTCGTCACAACACACTCCATGCGCCCCTCAGTCTCACAATTCACTCCTCTCCCCCTGACAAAACCTTTCCAGCCTCTCCCTACTCCACGTCACAGGCCCTCCCTCCCCAAACAACGGATCCCTCTCCAACCACACCACCCCCTTCACAGCCTCCGCATTCCCCTCCTCCTCCTCCTTCCCATAACACATATCCCAACTACACCCCTTGGGATAACTCCCCACCATCATGAACCCGCCGTCCAAATCCTGCACCAACCTATGCCCCACCCCCGCGGGCACAACAACCGCGTCCCCAGCGCCAACTTCGGTTTCAACCCGCCCTGGATTAGACTCGCCGCCGAAGAGGAGGATGGCGCGGCCGGAGTAGATGCAGAGGATCTCGTGGGTTGTGCTGTGGTAGTGTGTTGTGGTGTACATTGTGTAGCGCCATTGAGGGGTGAGGTTGTTGAGGGGTAAGTGGGCTTCTAGGGTTGAGGGCGGTGTGGAGGGGGGAAAGGCAGAGTGGTATATGAAGAGCGGGTGGCCGTGGGGGGTTGTGTTGGGGATGAGGGAGTGGGAGGGGATGTAGTGTGTGCTTAGGCGGAGGGAGGTGAGGGGGGTTAGGTTTAGAGGTGGCATTTTGGTGTGTTGTTTCGAAAAACTATGGCTGGAGTTGCTCATGGGGTTGTTTGCTCAGCGGTTATGAGATATGATACTCTAACAAGGAGAAAGACCGAGACTCCAGCTCTAAACATGGGATGACATCTGATGATCCAGCAGATACGTCATCGATCAGAAAGCCGAAATGTATTTGCAACGAACATTACCGTTGTACCTTAGTACATCCATCTTTTTCTTTTCAGTATCTACTCAATTTTAATAGCTGCCGCCCTAGGTCTATCGTTGGACACACTGTATTGATAGTGATAAGTATTCGCCACCCGTCACATAGTTTTAAGGCTTCACCATGGATGAGCGCGGATAAACTCGAGTAAGCGTATTGCCCAAAAGTCTTTTGGGGTATCTCCTAAGTGAGAGATGGAATATTGTGAGATCTCTATTGAGTTGAAACCACAGGGAAATGGTCGTGAGCGGTACGGCAGCACTGTGAGATGTATCGTCATATTCGTCTGAAACCGTCACTGCCACAGCCGACAGCATAATTCGCTGCCCCCATAAGAACGAACGATACCTAGCGAAGGAAATATAGTGTTGGCATTCTTCGCTGTCAAGAATTCTGCTGCCTTCGCGATGAGCACTGTAAAGGCTAGTGCAAGGCTGCGTGAACGGGACCCTTGTAAAACGCCAAGACCCAAGCTCGGTGCTGCCTGAACTGTATGAACCGACAACGACGTGACTCTAAACGTCGCCGCCTTGTTCGCCCGGCACCTTCACTTTTCTCTTCTCCTCTTCTCGGTGTGTCGCCTGGATACAAGACACATATACTAAAATCTGCGGAAATCGACCGCTCGGTACATCTTAAACCCTCCCCGCCCGTTGCCATCACTCCCCACCACTTCACCGCGCCCTCCACCGAACCCGCCTTTACCACCATCAACCCTTGTGAGAGAACACCAAACACAAGCGCACTCCCCGGTGTTGCTTGACAATCCGCTTGTCTGTGACACAGCGGTTTCGACCATAAAGTTCCTTACGCGCAAGAAGTCGCCTCAGAAAAGTGCCCAAGAGCACGCGACGACACAACCCACCATGTCTTCCAGTATGCCACCCGTCCCGGCCAAGGACGATGTCAACGCCACGTAAGTTATTCTCTATCATCCTCAGCATCTTCTTCTGTCTAGCGTTGCAACTTGCCGAGTGCTGGACGGGTTGCAGTGACGTCTCGAATGGCGGGTCTGGTATCTGCCGCGTTTGGCTTCTGAGAAGGCCGCGCCGCTCTAGTAAGCGCCGACGAAGACAGTAATGACAGGATGAGCTATACTGAAGCAACCTCCACCCGAAGATGACGTAGAGCTCGACCAGATGCTAACAGCTCACAGATGGAAGTACCTCGAAGCTGGTGTCGACAAAATCATGACGAACCTGCGCGAAGGTGTCGACATGAAGACGTACATGGGTCTCTACACCGCCATACACAACTTCTGTACCGCCCAAAAAGCCGTCGCCGGCTCGTCGTTCCACGCCGCCAACAACCGCGGAGGTGCCCATCTCCTCGGAGAGGACCTCTACCAGCACTTGATCGAATATCTGAAAGCGCATCTCTCCGAAGTGCAGGCGGCTTCACGGCAACATGTCGACGAGGCGCTCCTCCACTTCTACATCAAGGAGTGGAACCGCTACACGACGGCTGGCCAGTACAACAACCATCTCTTCCGGTACTTGAACCGTCATTGGGTCAAGCGCGAGATGGACGAGGGTAAGAAGCACATCTACGACATCTACACACTGCATCTGGTGCGCTGGAAGGAGGACATGTTCACGGGCAGCCAGGAGAGCGTCATGCGCTCAGTCCTGAAGCTGGTGGAGAAGCAGCGAAACGGCGAGACTATAGAGCAGTCGCAGATCAAGTCGGTCGTCGACTCTTTCGTATCGCTGGGTCTGGACGAGGCCGACAGCTCCAAGTCCACACTGGATGTCTACAAGGAATACTTCGAGAAGCCCTTCCTAGAGGCCACCGCGCAATACTACGACAACGAGTCCAAGCAGTTTCTGGCAGAAAACAGCGTGGTTGAATACATGAAGAAGGCAGAGATCCGTCTGGAAGAGGAGAAGGAGCGCGTCCCACTCTACCTGCTCAACGAGATCATGTCACCTCTGATGCGGACATGCGAACAGTCGCTCATCACAAGCCACTCGCAAGCACTTCGCGAGGAGTTCCAGATCCTTCTTGACCATGACAAGGAGGAGGACCTAGGCCGCATGTACAAGCTACTTGCCCGCATTCCTGAGGGGTTAGATCCTCTGCGACTTCGGTTCGAGAACCATGTCCGCAAGGCGGGTTTGGCTGCCGTCGACAAGATCGCGCAAGACGGAGACAGCCTGGAGCCAAAGGTGTACGTCGAGGCCCTTCTTGAGGTCCACACTCAGTACCAGGCGCTCGTCAACAAGGCGTTCAACGGAGAGTCCGAGTTCGTTCGTTCATTAGATAACGCCTGCCGCGAGTTCGTCAACAGAAACAAGATCTGCAAGTCTGGCTCCAACAAGTCGCCTGAGCTTCTCGCAAAGTACACCGATACTCTGCTGAAGCGCTCCAACGCCAAGATGAGCGAGGAGGACGACATGGAGAAGCTTCTAACACAGATCATGACTGTCTTCAAGTATATCGAAGACAAGGACGTGTTCCAAAAGTTCTACTCGCGTATGTTGGCCAAGCGTCTGGTCCAGACGACTTCAGCATCAGACGACGCCGAGACCAGCATGATCTCGAAGCTGAAGGAAGCTTGTGGTTTCGAATACACCAACAAGCTACAACGCATGTTCCAAGATATGCAGATTTCCAAGGATCTAAACACTGCGTTCAAGGAATGGCAGTCAAACAACTTGGACGAGTCAGATATGAAGACCAACGTCGATGCCTCATACCACATTCTCGGTACCGGTTTCTGGCCTTTAAACCCACCCACCACACCGTTCACCCCGCCGCAACTTATCGTCCAGACATACGATCGCTTCTCTCGCTTCTACAACCACAAGCACCAAGGTCGCAAGCTTACCTGGCTATGGCAGCTGTGCAAGGGTGAGGTCAAGGCCAACTACTGCAAGGTCGCGAACCTGAAGACTTCACCAACCTTCCAGGTCTCGACGTACCAAATGGCCATCATGTTGCTGTTCAACGACAGTGACACCGTCACTTATGATGACATTGCTGAGTCTACCAAGCTGAACAAGGAGACTCTCGACCCTAGCTTGGGTGTCTTCATCAAGGCCAAGGTTCTGCTCGCCCAACCTGAGGGTGCGAAGCCTGAGTCCGGTACTTCCTACAAGCTCAACACCGGCTTCAAGACCAAGAAGGTGAAGATGAACTTGAACATCGGTATCAAGTCTGAGCAAAAGGCCGAGGCGGAGGATACGCACAAGACGATTGAGGAGGACCGCAAGCTACTCATTCAGGTATGTAGCCATCACTTCTATTTCCCTCACATTACAGCATGCTAACATATCAACAGTCGGCTATCGTGCGTATCATGAAGTCCCGCAAGAAGATGAAGCACCAGCAGCTCGTTTCAGAGACCATCCAGCAGATCAAGACCCGATTCATGCCCCGCGTCCCCGACATCAAGAAGTGCATAGACATCCTGCTCGAGAAGGAATACCTGGAGCGTCTGGAGGCAGACGAACTCGGTTACCTGGCATAAACGATCGTTGCTAAAGTCGGTCGGTACGTAGGAACATCTTGAGTAATGAGTAATGGGCTTTTCATCTTTCACGGGTCGGGTCTTCGTCTACATCATCACCCCCACTTCTTCGATGTGTATCATTTGGGCGTTTCCTGTCATGGGCAGCCGGAGTTAGGGAAACAATTGTGTGGGAAGGGCGAAATGGATGATGGGACTTTTGGGAATGGAGATATTACGCGCTGATAAGGTGCGTTAGGTATCTATCCCTTTTCTTGAATGATAGATGGGATATAAAAGCCAGACATGGTTTATTAAAAGAAGATTGTGATCTTGCTCTCTACTTTGTGCATGTGCGTGCTTGGTGACATGTTCGAGGCCGTGTTCAACTTGACTTGGACTACTACCCGTGCCTTGTTGTCTTCCCTCACTCTCGTTCTAAATCTGGAAAGTCACAATCTGCACATCAGACCGTTTCACCACCATCAATTCTGTTGCTCCTCCCATTCCTCATTCTCTTATACATCCATACACCTAGCACAGCTGGACTGTGTATCAACAAAGGTGACCATTCGGATTTGGTGGTCTCAGAACTAGGGTCCGAGGGCGTACTGCTCAGAGTGCTAGAAGTTCCGTAGTTGGGATTCGCGTCCGACGATGCAGATGCCGAAGACGTGGCGATGAGGGGTGTAGTGCTGCTTGTCGTGTTTGGTCGCTGCGAGGTCGTATTAGCTGTAGCGTTTGAGTCAATCGCTTCTTGCTGCTGATCTAGCGTCGTCGAATCTGTAATTGCAGTACCCGGAGTTGACGTCGAAGTGTTTGTAGTCGGGACTGTTGTTGTCGCAGTTGCATCTGCGTTGGACCTGGCTGGCTGTTTGCTCATCCTTCTGATGTCCGATATAGCGACTTTCCACAGCTTCTCGTAGGTTCGGAGTTCGATGCTTAGGAGCAGCATAAGGGGCCAGGCTAACATCAACCAAACAAATGGCTGTATACGAATGTTGATGTAGCCAGATGCTTGGAACTTGAAGAGCCCACACATGTTCCCCCTCGCTTCATCAGGAAGTGTATCGGTATAAGTCGGATTGTCGTGATCTTCTGCACTTGCGATGCTCCAGGCGTCGAACTGGGCTCTTGCAAGAGATGTCTTGAATAGATGCTCGGCTTCCAGTTGCCAGTGATTGTCAGCCAGTGGCATCGATCTAGACTGGCCGACTCGTTGCTGCGCCAAAAGCCCGCTTCCCAAACGCAGTTTGATAGCATCGTAGGTGTTTGAGCTTTTCAATGCGTACTTCATGAACCAATAGGATGATGTATTGGATCCGCCAGCTGGTATTGGGTCGTTGGCATGCCAGCATGGAGAGCCCGAAGGTGCACAGAAGATCGTCTCATCTATGCAGGCGAACGCTCGCGCTTTCGGCTGCGAGTTGTAGTAGTAATAGCCCTTATCACCAGGGTACTGGAAAGCTTTATCGGCGGGAAAGATGGGGTCGTTACTACGCTTGGTGTAAAGTATGCGTAAAGCCGTAACGAAGACGAGGCTCAAGGTCTTGGTTCGGTGTGGCAATAGGCCCGAAGCTTGCAGATCTGGTGACGGCTGGTAAAAGTCGCATGTCGGGTCCAGCAAGGAGGTTGCATAAGTACTAAGTGCTCATTAGTCACAGCGAACAGTGGTCCGTAGACTTGTCCGTAAACTCACTTGACTTTGTACACGGGCGCTTGCCAGTCAAATGGATGGCCCGTTATACGCATAGTGTATTCCGAGAGCACAGTTGGAGGAGCATGAACTTCGTCCGAGCAGTTCCTCGTATCGTAGAGCGATCCATAAAAGTACTTGTACCCCGACTCGCCCGTCCCGCTGTTGGTGAAGTGTTGGACAAAAGGCCGCTCTGCGCTCAGCGGCGCACATGTTGTCTTGCGTCGAAATTTGTGCATGGATTTCTCGTTGATACCTAGTATTCCTAAGTTGACCCAGTTGGTGTCAAAGGTGATGGCCGAGCCGGGTTGATAGCCATCAACGCATATGTCGGTCCTGTCAAAGGGGCATTTATCTTCCTGCACTTCATAACCGATGGTTGAGTTATAGAAGAAGTCGCAGTTCGTGGCTTTGACGTTCGTAATGGAATCATGGTTGTAGCACTCTTGCGCATAGGTCGCCGCACGTCTTTCTCTGTCCACCATGAGCATATCAGCTTTTGAAGCTTCTTCTTCGCCGGCTTTTTCGTTGTCGTATTCGTAAAGGCCACATGCATCTGACTTTAGCAGGGCTGATCTGCTTCTTGCGACGTTGTCGGTCAGAAGTATCCCCACAATGGATTGGTACAGCACCAACAGAAACGATGCAAGGAGAAAGGAGCCAAAGAATCGATGCCGAGCTTCCCAGCAAGGGTCTTGGGCGGCAAGGCTGGACACCCAATATCTCAGTCCTCCTTTCGTACCCTTTGTAGTGCTCATAGTCCCTGATGGAACAAGGTGGCTGGCAAATTCATCTTCGGGATCGCTTGGCGTTGTCGTTGGGAAAAGGTAGAGCTTAACACACGTGATTGTACTGAGGATGACTCGCAGTACGTAGGGTGACGCAAGCGTAAGACTGATAGCAATGCTGACTTTGAACCATTGCGCTTCTCGCCAAGAATCGTGTTGCAACGTCTGCAAGCCTAGCAGCTTGTCAATATTTGGTCGCCAAATCGAACGTATACTTACGATGTCCGTCGCTATAATCCCTCCACCGTCCCGTCTGCGGCGTGCTCAGAAGTGACATCAGTGAATACGCAGTATGATGATGGGACTTGTGATATCAAAATCACCTGGCAATGCTCCGAGAACCAGAAATGTGAAGACTCAGGACAAGAGAGGGCGAGGAATGGCACGCTTTATCAGAGCAACCGATCCGGTGAAGAAGTTGTACCATGGATGATGAACAATCCACAGGATGTTCGCTTCATTCGAGTCGCATTGTCTCTTAGGTCGCTTCGAGTTGAGCTTATTGCAAACTGTAAGTTATCCTATCCTTGCGCAAGATTGCCCTTGACGCGCACAGGTAGTATATGTCTGAAACACGCGAGAAGATGATGAATGCCTAGGTGGCAGTGAGGCTGAATGCTTACAGCACTACTCGATGCGCATCCTAGCCAGGCCACGCTAATCGCCTGGGTTGGTTCAGACGTGCATGAAGAGGCGTTTTTCTGCGAATGAGATGCGCCCTCTCATATCGGAGAAACGGGACAGCGCTCTCGTGCCAGGCATCAAGGAGACCGCATGACACACGCTCTTGGAAGGTGCGGCAGCATATTCCAGCTTGACCGGTTCGTGAGATAAGTGGGTAGCTGTGTAAAGTAAGCCAGCCAACAACTCCTAGTGTCGCAACGGGTAGACGTATCTCATCTGTATGATGCTGTACATCAGATAAAGCGCGAATCACAATTTTTTCGGCCTTGGATCATCTGCAAGCGCGATTGCCTTTCGCCACGTGAGCTGCATCCCCCGCCAGGCGATATAACGGGGCGAGCCCCGTGTAACGCTCTGCCACCCTTTGCGATGGGATCTCAGATGCCTCGGATACCCTGGGCGTGGTCGGATTCAGACAGGCGATTCCACAAGTACGACGCGTCTGGTGAACTTGTACGGACCAAGTTCAGGAAGGATGAAGATAGAGGGAGTAAATATCCTTCTGGCGAAGGTTGGACACATTCCACATCCTATCACCGCTGCTATAAGTACGAGTATGGCAGCGACGGCACAATTCTCGAAACTCTCTGGGGTTATCCGGGTCCACCGTTGGACGCCGACGCCGACATGAGAACATGGCCCCGCTGCTCAGAATGGACGCGATCGAATCACTATAATAGCAATTACAGGCTAATGTGGGGACTGAATGAAGACGTTGTCTTGAAAACAATCTGGGAAGTGGCGTCAACAAGAGAAGCAGAGATGCTCATCAACAGTGCAAGGAAAGCTGTACATTTTGCATCCAGACTTACTGAATATACTACAACCAGCCATTACATACCAGTCCCGTGAGTAATTAGTATCGATGCCCGAACCAAATACTGAGACAAAATCCAGGTACCGCATGTCAGACAATGACAGAGACCGACAGCGGGACGATCGGAACGATCGCAACCGACATGAAAGAAGCGGTCATCGCGATGGCTTTCCTTCGGGCGATGGCCAATATCCTGACAACGGAGATCAGCTAGATGACGGCGACGAAACGCAACTGAGTCACCAGAGATTCCGTCTTCAATGGCCCACGCATACTTCCAGTCATTACCCTACACCTACATATGCACATTATCCTACGGATCAATATCCGACGGCCCATTATTCAACGGCTCAGTATCCAGCAGCACAGTATCCAGCGGCTCAGTATCCAGCGGCTCAGTATTCGACGGCTCAGTATTCGACGGCTCAGTATTCGACGGCTCAGTATCCGGCGGCTCAGTATCCAACGGCACAACACCCAGTGGCTCGGTAGTAACCCAGGAATTACAGAAAGGTGGTTGAATTGGTTTCCGGATGCAGCATCTAGCGAAAATAGCGTCGCTTCCAATAGATCTCGATGCGCCTAAGTCACGTTAATTAATGGCTTACGGATTCTGTCGCGGTATGATAAGGGTGAAGCGTGGCTTACGGGACCCAATCAGTCGCTTTACCAATCCTCGAAGTTTGTTGGTGCTTTTCGAGGTGATGGGACGATGGCAGAAGACCGAATGTGCGCATTGAGGAGGAAGAAGGCAGTGGTGCGCCCGGTGTAACTTCCATCGATGCCGAACGCGCAAACTTCATTACGTCATCGTTGTAACGCGTCAAAGTAGCCAGTATGAGCAACACCCTGTATTCCCCAGTAGTTACTTTTAGACACAAGCCTTTGATACCGTGATTAAGAAATCGACGAGATGACTAACAATTTGTATGATTGTTGACCGCATATTGCTCACGTGTTCCTCAGGGCGCCCAGAAAGACCACGACGCGTATATATGCTCAATGCCCTTTGCAAACATGCCATCGATGCTCTGTTTGAGCACAGAAGTGGATACCGGATACTGAGATACTCAGAACTTCTTTGCTATGTCCTTCACATCGACTTAGATCGTATGCGCTTGACCACATAACCATGGCATTACACGATATGGAAGAGCTTGCGAGCTCCGCATTGTACACCAATACAAAGAGTACAACCCCAGGAAATCGACCTCGCCAGTAATTTCGGGGCCTTAACGATGCGCGGCCGAGGCGATTTGGGTTGCATGTCAGGCCGCCTGCTGCGCCCTTCTCAAAGTTTACCCCATCTGGCATAGCGCTTCCCGTTTCGGAAACACAAGACTTCCGCACGCGTGGCTACGAAGTAGGGTCTTATAGAGAAGCTTCTCTTGGATATGGCAAAGTTGACCTATATGTAATACTGCTTGCAATTGATGCTGCGCAATCTGCAATTCGACCATTCCAGACCTACGCTTTAGAAGATGACTGCCGTGACCACGACCTTGGTCGAGGACGATCGGAGTGCTGCTAGTAAGTACTCCGAGCACTGGAAACTCATACGAGAGTACTAATCATCCCGGCGCAGACACCGACGCCTCCTCGCTGGTGTACGTTGAACCCACCGCAGAGAATGCGGACCTCTATACCATGGATCTCCCAGAGTACACTCAACAGGTCTCGGGCGGAGAAATCTCGGTAGATGCAGAGTCGACACAAAACGAAAAGCCACACAATCAAGACCAGTCGCCGACATATGATCCACTTCCAAGCCCAGAGCCGCGGAGTCTCCAAGAAGAGCATGAGTATGACATACGACAAGATGTTAGCGACCAAGAAAACCCATCGCATACACGTTCATCGAACCCCCCAGCCTTGACACATGACTTCACAGAAGCTAATACAACGGCTGGCCTTGGTAGCGTACCAGCATGTAGCATCCTCCGCGATAGACCAGCAGTATGGCTAGTGAAGCAGAAGAGCCTAGCCCTGTCGCCGCTTGCGGCTGCGGTGCTTACTAAAGAGGGTCTTCTTCAACCCAAAGACTTACACCTGTAGGTAGTTTCGCCATGCAAGAAACGTTGACTACCACTGACACCCACTACAGCATATCTCAATACTCAGACATGAAGCACGACCCCACCGACCCGGTATCCGCTGCATTCCTCACTACCTACGACGTGGTAAGCGGTATCATGTTGGGTCTCATAGCAGGACCCGTCGAACTGGGCAAACAAACAACACCGATGTTACTACAGCGCGAGATAAGACGCAAAGAGAAGCGGGACGGGACTGATAACCCATCGCCTCCTCTCGACACTAAAGACTCAATCCACGTGGCACGCCAAGTAGCCCTCGGTACTGCGAAAGGATTTGGACGCATCGTCACGACCAGCCTAAAGAGCCCCGCGGTTATTATGCATGGAATTACTCGGGGTTTCCATAACCTTCCCAAAGCGTATGGCGACGAAGTACGACAGTATGAGAATGTGACTGGGTTGAGGAGTGGGCTGCTGGTCAGTTTCAAGAGCTTTGGTTACGGACTCAGCGATGGCATTAGAGATCTTGTGATAAAGCCGATCGATGGCGCCGAGAAGAATGGTGTCCTAGGTTTCGCTGCTGGATGCGCGACCGGCGTTATGAATGCAGCCTTCAAGCCTGCTGCTGGTAAATGGCCCTTTAGTATACATGACGACTGATCGACTGACTGAATGTAGGCGCGTGCGGGCTTGTCGGATACTCGTCGGTGGGAGTTTATAAATCGATCCGCAACATCGGTTCGGTAAAGAAGGAAGATCCGATACATGTAGTGCAGAGGCTGGGCGAAATCGAATATCAAGAGGCGAGCGATGTGGATAAGCTATACATAGTGCGTCTCTGGTGTCAAACGCAGATGCGCGTGCGCATAGGTTAGCTTCCTGAATACACCGTCTCGATTTGTCGATGCTGCTGGTTCATGGTTCAAGTGATGTATTGCGTGAGAACAAGCTTCGCTCGGGTCGAAGACACTATCGCTTAACCAATGCGTTGGCCGGTCTAGCAGTTCCAGCCTTTAGCTTGATGCGGAGGCCTTGTTTTCCGGTACGCCGTATGCCCTCTTCATCAAGTAGTGACTAAGTTGCCATTTCTGGATTTCGTCAGTAACCCAAAGTTTCACGAGGCTTGATCATCAACGTACTACTACTTGCTGGCTCTCGAAGTAGTCCTTCCATTCCCTGTCCTCCGCGAGATCGACGACCACGTCCCATGGCCACTGCTCAGACTCTAGCTCGACGAGAGTAAAGTATTTGTGTAGATCTTTCTTGTCTTTGGTCTCGAACTTTCCGCCCTGCATAGTTGTTGCGTTGTCGATCTCGAAGAGGCGAAACCGCAGTACGTCTGGTGAACTAGATATTGTGGGGCCGACGACTTCTCTGTAGTATTTCATGACTTCCTCTTCCTTATCAGCTGGTACGCTCCATTCCATTGCCGCCACGCTTGCGACGTATTCGATGTCTAGCGACATTAGTCCGTCATCGCCGGCTTTATCCGCACCCGTGATCTTACCACCACCGTCACCAGACCAGTCGTCTTGTTTCCAACTCTTGATTTCCCGATAGGACCGAAGATCAAGCAGTAGACCTTTGAGCGAAGCCTGCAGATCGGCATTTGGTGGATGGTATTGTGCGTCGTACATGTCCTTGTTGGCCTGGTCCACACTCTTTATCTCCCAAACGGTCATGTAAGGCCATGGCGCGTCCAATCTTCCCACCGGCTCGTTCTCCATACCGCTGGCCGTTACTTCGCAATGTAGGGCATGCTTTGCATTGTGCGGGTTCAATGAAGGTAAGTGTTCGTTCTCGTACCACTCCTCGCGTCCTTCTGGGATATTCGCCCATACGCAAGCTATGCCAGCCATGTTGTTCCGATCTCGCAGCGAGATTTGTCGCAAGTTGAGAAGCTAAAACTCCGCTGGTTCCAGGCGTCCAAGGTGTTAAATGCAGGTGTTTGTGCCGAGCTGTCAGTCAACGTTTGCGACGGGGAAAAGATGGAGGGACAGCTAGTCTGCAACGTGACGCGGCTGTCGCCATATTATGACAGACCCTGAACCACAGCTGTGTATGATAATCCCTACGAGACGGTCCGACCGCATTTTGCTCGACCGGTCCACCCTGTTTCGGAGGTAGATAAAGCGGTATATACGCCGTCGCTTAGCCAATGGACGATGGTGCGAGCGGATGTGATTGGCTATTGACACCTGAGACTTAAGGCGATAAATTCTTTCAGGACGTAGGCTAATGTGCATGTGTCGTAGGCGATCGACGTTCCCCACAACCTGCCACGAATGCATGAAGTCGGAGAATTCGAAGCGCGGGTAGCGCCGAAAGGATCAGTGATGCGTGAGCATCAGCCGCTTGATCGGTGAGAAAACCATCGCTTTACTGGTTGCTCGAGTGCGATTGTCTTGTCTGAATTCTTGGAGACATTGAAAACGCATTGTGCATGTCAGGAGCGACACTAAGGTTGGGCCTTCTTGCGGTCCGCTACGACCCTAGCGCCGGCAGCACAACGGCGTTACCTCCGCTTAGGGGCCTTGGACGCCTGTCCTTACAAGACACATGCCTGTGGACACCTCGTGAGCCAGCCTTGGACCAAGTCACGATGCTTCTGTTTCTTCCAAACATCCCGAAATTCTGCGACCTCTTCGCGGGCCGAATCGTGAAAGTTGCCCTCGCTCAACGACTGACGTGTATACGTGTTCTATCATCTGACTAGATAAATGAATCGCCGGATATATAGAGCCGCATGCAGCCGCACGTGAAAGCGAGCTCGGATCTTACCAGGACACATCGAGAAGACTACCAGCCGATCGGTCATAGGCAGATCGACGCGCAAGGAGATCTCGCTGTCCATGCTCTTGCCCAGGAACATGCTTTTTCTCAAAGACATGGTTCGTCGGGACTTGGACCCATGAGCAGTATGGTAAACTTGGATTTTGCCCCAGACCCCTGGACGAGTGCGCCATAGTGATCTACTCTCGCGGCACTATGAACCCACATTTGTGCCGTATCTCAAACGCCACAAACCTCTGAAGAAGGCAACATTCGCGATGCCTATCGCTACCATTCAAGAAACAGACGTCTCAACAAATCTCTCGGTGTTCAATCTGGTACAACACTTGGGGCCAATGGTAGACAGGGTTCAATCAAGATCGAAGTTGAAATTTGGCTCGTGGCTTACCGGCTCTATGGGTGTCGGAAGAAGGGCTGCCATGTACGGAAGAGAGCCCGTGCTCTTGCGGTCCAGAAACGAGGGTAATCAATCGTATCCGCACGGATGGGGTTAGAATGATCATCAACAGCGTCCTTTCAGGCAGGTAACAAGGGGGCAAAGAGCGACTACACCACATGTCTACCTCACGAATGCACAGAAACAGGTCTCAGCGGGCAAGATAGCTTCAACACGTTGAAGTGGCGTGTAAATATCTGCTGACAGTGGCGAGATCATATAGCCGTTTGTTTTAGCAAGCCACACTGGCAGCTTCTATGAATAGTAGTGCATCAGCGCTTCTCAACAGACAGCGGGAGAAGCATCGTCGGTAGATAACCACCAACATGCTTCCCGTGTATGCAATCAAGTACCTGGGAATATCAAAGATCTGATAAGTTCTGCTGCCAGATCGTGCAGATACCCGGAGGAGCGACCTGGTAGATTCCATGCCGTACGGGCTTGAAGAGTTAGCCAGACCAGAAAGTATGGTCGAGTGAACGTATATAAAAGCTTCACACTTCATCGATCATAAGCTCATCCTCACAGTCTTGTCCCAGGCTTCTTCATACAATCTTCTACCTTTACATTATCCTGCGTCAGAATCCAAGATGCTGATCGTTTTTCTCGCCGCTGTTACGTCGACCTTCTTCGCGCAGGTCTACGGCGCTGGGAGTGCCGTACAAGGCACAGGGTCAACCACTCGTCAATGGTCTTGTTGCAAGAACTCCTGCTCCTGGCCGGGCAAAGCTCTTGTCGACAAGCCTGTCCTGACGTGCGACGCAAGCGACAATCTTCTCGACAACTACAACAGGCGCGACGGCTGCGAAAGCGGCGGTGGCTCATATGCCTGCTCTGACCTCAGCCCATGGGCTGCGAGCAACGACTTGGCGTATGGCTTCGCCGCAGTCAATCTCGCAGCTTCAAACGAATCTGCGTGGTGTTGCTCTTGCTATTCGTAGGTTCCTTCAGATTGATGCCCGAGCAGTGACTGACAAACTCTAGTCTGACGTTTACATCCGGCCCAGTCAACGGAAAGAAGATGATCGTCCAAGTCACGAATACAGGATCTGATTTAGGAGAAGATCAATTCAACATTGCCATCCCTGGTGGTGGTGAAGGTTCCACCCAAGGATGCACGAAGCAATATGGCGGCGCGGACGTCTGGGGTCAAGACTATGGTGGCGTAGCGCACCGCGACGACTGCGACGCCCTCCCCGCTGCGCTGCAAGCTGGCTGTTACTGGCGTTTCGACTGGTTTCGGGCAGCTGACAATCCGTCTGTCAGCTGGGAGAAGGTGAAATGTCCTACAACCCTGTCTGACGTGTCTGGCTGCCGTCGTAACGATGACTCGATTCCGGGGCAGAATACCCCATCGCCGACGCCTACGACTTCTGCCCCGATATCGTCTGGTACTGTACAACCGGGAGGTCAATGTGGTGGGAAGTCTTACAAAGGTCCCACCCGATGTGTCGGAGGCACTGTGTGTACCTATGTCGACGAGAATTCGTACTATTGTCTTGCGGACCCAGCTAACACAAGAACAACCCCAACGACTACAACTTCTGCTAGTGCCGCACCTACTATCGGTCTACCGTATGACCAATGCGGCGGGAATGGTTGGACTGGTCCCAGGACATGCAAGGATTCGGTGTGCGTGAGAGTCGATGAATGTAAGTCACGCTGCTTCGCTCATGTCAACCCGGATATCCAACTGACCTGTCGTAGGGTACTCGCAATGCCAGCCCCCAGTCTCATCTCAGAGATCCTCCAGCACGAGAACTCAGACAACTGCTAGACCAACATCTACTCCACCTGTTCAACCGGCACCGCCCTTCACTCGTACCAGGCGCACAACCACGACTAGGCCCGCGCTACCAGTGGCTACGGGCCCAGTGCAGCTCTATGATCAGTGCGGTGGTCAGACGTGGCAAGGCTCAACAACCTGCAACCAGGGCCTGGTTTGCTTCAAGGTCGACGAATACTATTCGCAGTGTCAGAAGCCGTCCTAGAGAAGTGAAAGTGAACAGATTCGTTGTGTCGGGCCTGAAGATCTCAATTTGTCGCTAGCAGAGAAGTGTTTCAATCGTACATGTAAGCATTAGTGGGAGGAGGAATTCGTAGCTTGCCGAAATACAATACGAATTTGGAAGACACTGGATGCAAATGAGTATCGTGATCAAAGATATGATTTCGTCGTCGCTTGCAAAGACACAACGACTCAGCAGCATCGTCCATATCTTTCTCTTCCTACTTCCTCTCTGACCCAACTCATAGCTTCGCCTTAACCCCAAAACTCTGCTGCACAGCCTCAACCCCCCTCTTCGCAACATCCTCATCCTGACTCGGCAACCCTGTACTACATCCCACAGCCCCAACAACAACCCCATCCTTCACAATTGGAACACCACCCGCAATCGTCATGAACCTGCCCCCGTTGCTGTGATTGATGCCATACGCTGGCCCACCAGGATACACGTTGTCTTTGTAAACAGACGTAGGCGCGCGATGGCCTGCAGCTGTGAAAGCTTTGTCGATGGCGATGTTGATGGATGTGAGTTTTGCGCCTTCCATCCGGGCGAATGCTAGGAGATGGCATGCATTGTCCATGACGGCGATGTTCATTGGTACGTTGATTTCTTTTGAGCGCTGCTCGGCGGCCGCGAGGGCGATGCGGGCTCCATCGAGGGTTAGAGTCGGGATGGATTTTGTGCTCATGATGACTTTTGGTGATTGACGTTGGGAGGGTGTGTTGAACATAACGCGCTGATGCTTGCTATGTTATGGTGCTGACGATGGACCTCGGATATTGCAGGATAATGACGTAGGGGTGCTTTGATTGGTCCGTGTTGCGGACGCGCTTGCTTTCGCGCGGGTCCGCTTCATCTGCAGACAACATCAGCTCACAATGTTCATTAATCATACCTGCTCTCGCATTTATCCTTTGACAGGATTCCAATACCTTTGTGACTAATGTCATCAGGTTCTATCGCACAGCCTGGACTGGTATCCCGACGACCAATTTACACACGACAAGCCTCGGAGGAGCCAGGGGTTGCGAGTTCGGGATATGCTATTACGGTGACCTACGGAGACGATAGCCCAACCAACGAGGCTGCCTGCACTGTCTTGTACAGTGACAACATTCGTCGACGACTGATACCTCCAGCTGCCTGGCCATCTTTCGTTCTCCGTGTGTTCTGTCATCTAGTCACATCTCGCGGTTTCCTATATCCAAGTACTTCATTCTTGTTTGAGTATTCTTAGAAGCAGAAACAGACGTCCTTTCACTCTCTCATGTCTTGGCGAAGATTTTGTAGGAGCTCAGGGTAGGATCAGTGTCGCGAGTGCGAAATGTGTAATTGAACGCGTGCCTCTACCGAGCGCTATTAAGAGGGTGTGTTTTCGTCCTTGAACATGCTTACTGGGAACCCAGTCCTAGTAAGTACCCGAAACTATTACTACACATCGCTATGGCTTCCTTTCACTGTATGGCGATGGGCAGTATTCGTCCACGGGTATGTAGGCGGCCACTGGGCGACATTCACGGGTCTTTTCCACCTTCACTTACCAAACTACCTGATACGCAAATATGGGTCCGTTTTTACCAGTGCGTCATGTGATATTCACGACACGAGTTCCAAGTACCTTTCTTCTCGACTTGCCCAACCCTTGCCTCGTTCCACGGACGTCGATATAGCGTCACGATACCTCGACAGCAACGGAAATTTTCGCGAGCTACTTCGCTATCACCACCATGAAGGAAGAAGACATCCTCGCGCGCCAATCTCGTCCGCAGAAGCACTCGACCTGGGTTCCAAGGAATCGCGACTGGCGTTACGCGACCGGTGTTTTCCAACATGATGACAACGAAAACGCGCCCAACGACCGTTCGGCGTGGGATGACATGGACTACGACTATCAGTTTGCCGATCTAGAGAAGTGCAGAAGTCGAAGTGGCAGTAGGCAGAGCTACGGCGACAACAAAGCGCTAGGTACAAGGGATCGGGTGGCTACAACTCCTAAAATCACGAAGAAGAGGACGCTACCAGAGCCCCCAGGGGCCAAAGTGAGAGTCGAGGCGTTCAAGAAGAAGGCGAAGACTGCGAAGAGGAACGTGTGGATGTCGGTGTCAAGGCGCCATCAGATCAGCAATGAGGAAACAGAAGGCGAGGAGCCAGACTACCAAACGCATAGCTTGACTGTCAGGTTGCGCTTCTCAGGCAGGCTCATCATAGAGGATTCACTCCCGGCTATATCAACACCAGGTCGTATGTATCGTGTACGACCTCTAGACACGCCCGCAAATCTCCAGATACCCTACGATCCTCATACGCCCGCCACAGCTCGCACCGCAACATCGCTTCACACTCCACGTATGCTGGCCTCGGTCGAATCTGTACACACGTATCCTCCCTTCCAGCGCACATGGGTAGACGAAACGAAAGACTTCAACATGCGAGCAGTCCGCGGGGTTCTACAAAAGCCTGGATTAGTCGGCAAAGATCTCGGAGTTCACTATACATGGTACAACGACGCAGTCCCCGTGGACGCTCTACTCCCTCCCGGGGTACCCTTATCCGCCAAAGAAGTCATGGCCTACTACCCCCACCACGTCCGATGGAAAAGCATGATGCTCCGACTAGCCAACAATGACTATCGCGGTGCGGACATCGTTGGCATGCAGGTAAGCCGTGGTCTTCCTAGTACCCATGAGGCAATTTATAGCTGACAACGCACAGGCATTCTTCCGTGGTCCCCCAACAACGGACATTACGGCGGCAGTCATGAACAAGTATCAACGCGACTCAGTTAAGAAGATTATCGAGGGCTTCAAAATCGAAATTATCAATGGAAAGCATGATGCCAACTTACATACCGATCACCTGGAGCCAGGCAGATACATCGCAGAAAGGCGCAGCGGCTACGTGTTGCCGACTTTCAGTGATCTCCTGGGTGGTTTAAACCATCTACCTTCTGGTCTTGATGCTCGTAGCCTCACAGAGTGTCTGAGTTGGTATCTTAATTTCCGCGGCTCGTTTACACCGAAGCTAGAGTTGAATGTATTGCATACCCAAGCCCTGATTCGCGCACTTCGCGTCCCGCTCAAGCGGTATGGACCGCAGAATCTGGATTGCAATGCGCTCAAAGAATGGAAAGAGAAGGGGAAGTTTGAGGAGCGGAAGGTGTACTACGAGCCGGCCAGACCTATGTCGACAAGCACGGAAGATGCCGCGCGAAGGAGGTCGCAGTTGCACATGGACCTGGACGACCAAGAAGTGAAGCTCGACGTCCAACTCCCGCTTCGCCACGTCCTCACGTTCCCTTTCCTCGCTCTCCACAGTGTCATGGGCGAGGCGCTCAAGCTAGGTATAGAGAGAGCTGAGAACAAGAAAGTTGAGCGAGTGACCGCAGAGGGTAGAGCCATGCTGGAAGCCAAGTGGGCTGCGAGAGTAGCTGAGAATGCGGAACCGGAAGAACAGGTGCGGGATGTGGACGCGCGGCAACTACATGCGATGGCGGAGAAGCCTGAAGTGACTGTGAAAGCAGACGACGGCGCCAGGGAGCTTTATCGCATACCCAGACGGACACTCACGGCTGAAGCACTACTTACTCTTGCTCCTGCGCCGAGAAGAGCGCCTGCTGCGCCGCTTTCGAATGGAGGGCCACTTGGTCTCTGCGCAACGCCTGAACCCGTGTACTTCGACTGGGCTTGGGGTACACCATCCCCTTCTTCCGCATATGCGCCTCGCTCCGTGTATGGGAGGAGGGAGTATGAGTCGCCAAGGCAGACAGATCAAAGGAACGGGACGCAGCGTGGTGGGAGGGAGGATGATCGTTGTGGATCATATCGTCCGAGAGATCAGTAAGGGCGATGTTTTCGTTGGCGGATGAGGGTGGGATGAGGATGACATAGTCACATAATGATAGCGAAATCGATGTGATAATGGCTTTTGACGAGCACATACCATAATGTCGGATTTAGGAAGCGATTGGGAACTTAAAGTAGTAATCAGCAGGGTGTGAAGTGGAACAGACGTACCCCGCGCAGCTCGACTTAGGCAGCAGCCATTATTGTGCCGCTTGACATCGCGACTACTCACCATCCTTCGAAATATTATGCACTTACGCATCTATCTACTAAAGTCTCGTGTCTTTGGTTAGTCAAGCAATATGTTCAAAATATTGTCTGTCGTCGTAGGTTTAGTAGCGATTAGGCTTGCCATCTCCTACGCCCAGGCCGTCGCACTTGAGATGCGGGAAAAGCCCACATCAATGATCCCAGTCGTCGGTATTTCGCTCACTGCAAACCATGCGACAGCAGCCGTTCGATGGCCAAATGGGACTTTCGAAAACCTAGGTCGGGTGGAGGCATCGAAGGCGTATGTGAAAATGATGGAACGTCTCTCTTTGCGCTCATCGATGCATCTAACGTAGGTTGCGGGATCGATGTACTTACGCAATTGTGTACTGATGATGTGTAGTCGACCATACGGTAGCATGGAAGACATGTGGGACGACATACCACGAGCACTCTGGCGAAACACACGGAAGAAGCTTGGGCTGGCAGGTTCTGGCGACGCAGCTATGCTCGCCAAGATGCTCAAAGCGACAACGAACATGGCGGAGAAGAAACTTGGGTTTCGAGTATGGGTGATACAGAGCTTTCCTCCATTATTCGCTTTGTACCAGGAACACGTCGCCGATGCCGCCGAGTATATCGGACTTCGCGCGCTATCAAACGATGTGAGATATCAGATGCATGAACTCACTGCCGCATATGCCGGGCATGGAATGGGGCTAGATGAGAGCGACGTTGAACTGGTAACCCGTGGCAAGAAGCCACACGAGTACGGTGGACGACATACAGTCCTTGTAGAGTATACCGAAACTGCGATTTTGCTGCATGGCGAGCCGATGGTATATGCTCACAATATCGCGAATGTCGAATACCATGCCCGGTCGAGTTTTGAGCTGGGCAGCAGTAATTTAGCATCAGAAGAGCAGGTACGTGAATTTGTGCTGGAGTACTTGCGCAAGGTGTATCATGGTTATACGCAGTATCCCTTTGTCTATCCCAAGGAATTCACTGTCATAATGACGGGAAGCGCTGAAAGTGTTGGCCGCGAGGAGATTCGAGCGGCAATTGCAGAAGCGGTGAGATTGTTTGGATTCCAGGTTAGGATCCTGTATTCTGACCCTGAATATGTGGCAGCGAGGGGCGCGGCTGAGATAGCATGGCGAACTTTACTAGAGGCGGAGAAGAAGAAGAAAAAGAAGGAGAAGACAGAGCTGTGAAGGAATACATGCGACGACATGAAATGGCGCCTATAAACCTACAGTCTCACAGTCAGCGATTCACGAATTGACCTTCTCGCTTTATGCATGCGAATACGTCTGTGCCACCAAGTTGTCAAGATCGCGTTGACCAGGAAGACCCTCGTAGTACGTAACGCCACTTAGCAGATCACCCGAGCCCGGAATCAACAGTTTTGGGAAAGAGTTGCCGGAATCGGTAGGTTGAGACCTGAAACTGCACGTTTTGGCGAGTTCGTGGTCTCTTCGCTTGGATGGATCGGAACCAAACTGTACTGTGGGACCAGAACCTGGCATGTAAGACTGGTAACACGTGAACTGACGAAAATCCGCAGCTAATTGGTGTACGAATAAGTGTATAGAGATCGTCTGTCGTGAAGTGTGTCGAGTCAGAAGGGGGGATGTTGCTTTTTCCGAGATGTCGTCGAATCGTGGGTTGTCTTGGAGCAGACGCTAAGCGTGGCGGGAACGTGGAGAATAGCTCGCTGTTTGGTACCCCGCCAGCTCATTTGAAGTTCACCTGGAGTGCTGGACCGAATGTCGCGTATTTGCGAATATTATCGTTGGGCTGGCGACGTGAGAAGATCTGCGCTGGGGTTAGGGGGCTCGGCCTAGCCTTCGTCATCGTTCAATGTTGAGCCAGCGCTGGGCGCACCCGGCCTCCAATTCGGACGGGATATCCGCGCCTGCTTTCCTAGTCGCACGCCCGCCACGCGCTCGTGGCTGCCTCTCCTTATGCAAAGTAGTCGCGCCTCTTGCTAGCTTCTTAACTTAATGTATGTTGTTTAGTGGTCTATGTATTCACTCCACCCGACCGTGACTTGAAGGAGCGCACCTCCGCGGCCAGGACGAGATAGGAGAGGTCCAATGCCCGACCAGCAGCGCCGCTCATGGCACCAGCCTGACGTTACTAATCTGCCCCCCGACTCGTATACCGCCCAGAGACTGGTATGCATGGCTACAGACTACCGTACGCATGTCGCAAGCTAAGAGGAGTAGGAACATGCCACGCCCGAGCATCTGCATCTCACGACGAGACGCTACTTCATCGGTCCTATCCCCACGGCATGGCTGACCAAGCACCGCTCCGATTGGTAAGAGATATCGCTGTACGAACTGCATCTGAGATATGTGCTGACTTCGTGCGTTCAGGTACAAGCACCATTTGCGAATCAATTACTCGACGCGTACGGCGACCTTCTCCTCAGACCCACGCGAGGCGCGCCAGCGACGACTGAGTGGCCTCGAAGGCCCCAGCTCCTCTGCCCTCTTCCAGCACAGCTTCCCCCAGCCCGAAGAACTCCAAGCAGAAGATGAGGAAGGAGCGCAAGAGCTCGAGGCCAGCGGAGCCAATGGCGCGGCAGGTGCGACTGCAGCGACTCCACCAGCCTTGCAAGTGCCGCGCGCTTCAGACCACAAAAGCGATGTCATGGACGATGACGAGAACGACGAGTTCGTAGACGCGCCTTCGGAGCCAGAGGACGATGACATCGAACGCGTCCACACCAACGAACGGACAATCCGCCGATCGAGTACGGACAAGACGTACATCACTGCATCCTCCATACCCGTAGACGAAGACGAAGACGAAGACGAACAGAGATCGGCCGAAAGACCGCTGCAGGAGCAACACCAACAACAAGCACAGGCAAGTGGCTTACATGTTCCTTCAGGCCAAGAGCAGGCAGGATCCAAGTCGCTAGGCAAACGCCCGCTGTCGAATGTAGAGAGTCTTGGGAGTCCTGCATCAGCTACCGGAGCAGCCTCTGTAGATGCAAACTCCACGTCGTCTTTGCTGCGTAAGGCTGACATGAACAAGGCACCGGCCTCGGCTGATGTCGATTCGAAACCGCCCGCAAAAGGTATAATGGCAAGGGTCCGGAGAAGATCAGGCATGATGTCCTCTTCCGCGGAACAGCTCCAAGACACAGACCCTGCCACGGGAGATTTGACGCGCAAGAAGTCGAACCTTCGGAACCTTGTGAAGTTTGACATACCGGAGGATTCCCGACGCGCCACGATCCAGCTCAAAGCGAAGAAGGCGCAAATGACTGTCCAGCGAGCTGGTACCAAGATAAGACGACAGAAGATTAAAGATGGGCTTGTCGTCAAGATGGAACGCATGCTTGTGCGAGTGGATGCCGCCGCAGAAGTTCCCGAAGACTTTGATGAGAATGTCAACCAGAGAGTCGTCTCCCGCGTCAAAGATAAATGGCGGGAGTACATGGTCGTCTGCCGTCACAGCCATACCAATGACGCAGAATTTCTGCTGCAGCTCTACCAGACTCGGGTTCGTTTCTCTAGTGCCTTCCTACGCGTCAAGCTACTAACTTCGTTTACAGGTCATCCCGGAAATTGAGAATGCAGGAGCAGGCAAGAAAGCCGCATACGAAGTTCCGCTGGGGAGGAAGACCTGCAAAGTCAATCTCTACTCGTCGTTGGACAAGTCAATGGTCGTGTCCTCGCCAGGTTCACGCGAGACCCTCATCTTCATCATGCAAGCTCGAACCGCATCCAATGCAGTAGAGTGGTATACCTTTCTCCGTAACGTTCTTGGCTGGCAGCGTGCTTCCGAACTCCAAATCAGTATACCGGACATGAGCTTGAGCATACGGATCGCCAACCCATTCGAGAAGTTAGAGGCATCACAAAACAAAGTCCAAGATGCAGAGAACACCGAGGAGGCTTTGCTAAGAACTATGCAAGAAGAACAGGCTGTTGCTCAAGATTTGATTAGGCGCTGCTTAGATCAACTGCAAGATGCACCGGAGTGGGCTGACGTGCTGGAATCTTGGATTAAGGACCAGCGCATAGGTCTCGCCTGGAAGCGCTACGATCGTCTCGAATGGATACATGGAGCGAATGAGCGGAAGATGTACGGCACGATAGCTATGCTGAAGTCGCATGAACTGGAACTGAGGCCCAAGACACACTATCCAACGACTGCAGTGACAAGGAAGAAGCACAAGACCTTGACCGAACCGGTTCCTGTCGAAGGCTTTCTCATCAGACTGACAGGGCAGCGAGGACGGGCAAAGCGACTAGGCCTCATGTACCACAAGCAACTTTACTTTGCCAGCCACGATCAGTATCTCGTCTTTTCGCGACCAACGAAAGCCACCCCACCTCCGCCTCCGAGGCTACCTGCGTCTGGAAACGCCAATGTGCCGACAGCGCAAGCGGTCAAAGACGCGGTGCCAGAGAGCTGGGCTGTCAACCCTTATGGCCTCCAGGATGGGCAGATTGAATGGCTGATGGAGGGTCACTCAGGCACGACGGAAGCGAGGCGGTTGCATGATGAAGATGCGGCAGATGAAGCTGCCCGCAAAGAGCAGAACCTGCTCAACTGCGACGGCTACATCAGCTTGGCAGACGTCGTCAAAGTCCGCAAAGCCCAGTTGGGTGCCAGTCCCGCTGACGAAGACCTGGAGGAAGGTTCGGATGTGGACTTTGATGATGAGGTTGACGACTCTATGCGCAACGATGGAGCTACGAAGGACCTGGACATCGATCGTACTCTCGAGTTGGTCATGAAGAATGGCCTCATCATTCGCTTACAGGTGAGTAACTCTTTTACATACACATGTCCTCCTGGCTGACATAGTATCCAGGCCGCAGACAAAGCACATCGGAAAGAGTGGATACAACACTTACGCGCTCTTGCCAAGTACTGGAAACATCGCACCGCATCAGATATCGCCCTCTACAAAGCCACACGTAGTCGCAACCTCAGCGCCCTTAAGATTGACGAAGAGGCAGAAGCACACGTTGGGCAATTCGCCAGGAAATGGGAGGTAACTCAATCTTTTGCTTCACCAGAGCTCTACAACATGTGTGGTATCGCTTGTTGCCGCAGCGTTCATATGAGCGGAATGTTGTATCGCAAACCGCGCATACATGCGCCCTTTACACGATGCAGCGTTCTGCTGACCGCCGGCACACTGCTCATATTTCGCGATGTCTTGCGAAGCAGGGTTGGCAAGCAATTGGCGCACATCCACCACGAGCGCATCGCGAATCTCGATCTCAAGGACTGCTATGTCTACTCTGGTCTCCTCACAGAGAACGACCTCCTCTACCAGAATCAAACCTTCGATGCGAACAAACCAGGTCACCACGCCCTTCCAAGAATCTACCTCGAAGATGGCTGGACCTCCACAGACGAGGATGTCATGACTACGTTTGTCATATGGCATGGCAAAGCAAAGAGCTGGTTCCGCGCTGAAGAGGGTGCGGGTGGTGGCGAGCAAGTTCGCAAGGAGGGCAAGCGCACGAAACTGAAGAGGGTAGCTAAGCTTGGAAGTAAAGGCCGTAGCGTGGTATTTAGGGCGCGATCGCGTGCAGAGCGAGACCATTGGGTACTTGCAATACAGAACGAGATTGAGCGAATCCAGGGCGATAATGCTGACTTCAGACTCGAAGAGAGTGGTGAGAAGGGGATGGCAAATGGAAACGTTAGTCAGAGTAATACTAATGCGTAAGAGGCGGATGGTCTAGCTTGCTCATGGAGGTCTGTATTGTACATTTGGCGCATTGTCCTGTATAGGCGTACTGAGCCTTTAGCAATTATGACTTAGCACGGCGGTGGGTGGTCTGAGTATGTACATCGTTGCATATTTGCTGTTGACAATTGACGACGGCGTTTGAGCTATATACATAGGTACTCGTAATGTAATACCATCGGAGTATCCGAAGTTAAAATCTTGCAACACTTCTTCGACATGGAACAAAGACCTCATATGCAGTCCTTCACTTGGACTATCTCACCTCAACTGACGCCACCACCCTGTCGCGCAGTGTCGCTACGCCAACGCCATGGGCAAGTTCCCACGCGAATGCTTTCACATTCACACTCAAGGACGGCCACGCGTTGCCTCTGCCTTATCGCCTCACCCACACTGCAGCCTTGGTGCTATCAAAACGCGCCCGGCCCACCCCCCGCACAAACAAACACCCGCCTCCGCAGATAAATAGAGCGACACCCCGCCCTCACCTTCTCTTAGCCCAACGCTTCTACTCTGCACTCGTTTAAAGCAACTCAATCTCTGCTCCACCGCCCTTTCCAAGCCACTCAAGCGCTCCCTTCGATCTTCTTACCCACACTCACTTACCCCAACACCAAATACCAACAACTGCAATGGCTATCTTCAAGAACCTTCTCGCGGCCACCGCGCTCTTCAACGTCGCTCTCTCGAGCACTGATTTCTCTTCGAAGGTCGGATCTGTCGTCACGTCCATCCAGCTCGTGACTTCAGTCACCTTCGTCGACCCAGCCCCGACTTCATCTAGCACTCACTGCAACAGTTTAACTGTTACCGCGTCTGCGCCGCCTAGCACTGTGACGGTCACTGCACCTCCTGTTGTTAGCGGTACCGGAGTTGAGACGTCGGCCAAGTCTTCTTCTACCAAGGGCGTGACTATCCAGACATCCGTCGCTTCATCTATGTCCTCAAAGACCGAAAAGCCTCTCCCGTCTGAGAGCTGCATCAGCGACGTCCACACTGTCACTCATGGCGGCACTCATGTTACGACCATCACTGGCTGCAAGACGCCCCCTGGCTTTGCCACTGTAAGTACCCGCCTCTCTTGATCCGCCCATCACCAACTCAGTCCGCTAACATATGGAAACAGCCTCCTCCCACTCTGACCAAGAGCCTCACTTCCACCAAAGAGGTGACTGAGACCGTCGTCTTGCCGTCATCCAGCGCTGCTACCCCCGAGATCAGTGTCCCTATGATCACTGGAACTTCGGTCAAGCCCTCTCGCCACGTGCCCTCTGGATTCTCCACGCCCTCACATTCATTCCACTTCAACACCACCATGACTGCGACCGCTACTGGCACCGGTGTCCCTAGCGCTTCCATGTCAAAGCCCATCCTTCCTCCTTTCACTGACGCTGCTGATGCTAGCAACGTGGGCGCTGCCCTTCTGGCTGGTGGTGTCTTGATGGCTCTCTTTGGCGCCTAAGCGTTTTGAGTTGATGACTGCATGGATTCGGGTTCGGATTTTTCGGACTGGGAATTGACTGGACTGATGATTGATGGATGCGGTTGATGTATAGGTTCCGTTCTTTGGAATTTAGATGACGGGAAACTACGTGTTTCTCGGTAATGTACTTCATGACCTATTGCGTTTGTTTCTACTGGGTGAGTGCCTATGTGCTTGTCTATGACGTCTTATTCATCTACATTTTAGCAAGATCGTGATGCAATAATGCTGACGCCTTTGCATGGTTTTCGCGCACTCCACGTTCCATGAGTGGGTCTATATATTTCTATATCTTACTGCTGGTGTCTATAATTTTACACATTTTTTCAACGTGGCAAAAACTCTTTCTCTGGAAGGCAGAAAAGAGAACGAAGGACGTTCTCGTGCAGCAGTCATGGATGAGTGAATGTGGTGAGGTCGGTCGCGGCAGGGTCAAACTGGGGTGGCGCGTTGCCGAAAGGGGAATGGCGTGTGTTGCCCCACGGCGGCGGGCGATCTCACACAGTGAGTGGGCAAATCTTTGAGTCACTACGAGCCAAACTACTTTCACGCTTCCACTCGGTCTCCGCGCAGCATACCGACGCTTATCCACTCTGCGCAGCTAGAAGTTCTTCTCGCTCACCACTACACTCAACATCTGGAAACTCCACCCCAAAAGGAAAGAACAATCCTAATAGCGACCCCACCTCGCGACAGTCGAGCGACGTTACCCAACACCACACAGGAGAAGAGCAGGAGCACATATCCAACATGTCTCTAACGAATTGCCGATTCTACGAGGAGAAGTACCCGGAGGTGGAGAGCTTCGTCATGGTCAACGTGAAGCAGATCGCCGAGATGGGCGCATACGTCAAGCTGCTAGAATATGGTGGGTTCAGGACAGTTCGCAGGCATGGGTAGCGAGGCTGACTAGTCAGACAACATCGACGGCATGATTCTGCTTTCCGAACTCTCGCGAAGACGTATTCGATCCATCCAGAAGCTCATCCGAGTTGGCCGCAACGAAGTCGTCGTCGTACTCCGTGTAGACAAGGACAAGGGTTACATTGATTTGTCGAAGCGCCGAGTTTCGCCTGAGGACATCGTCAAGTGCGAGGAGCGATACAACAAGTCAAAGATGGTACACAGCATCATGCGCCACGTCGCCGAGAAGACGCAGACACCTATCGAGGAGATCTACCAGACCATTGGCTGGCCGCTGAACAAGAAGTACGGACACTCGATCGATGCCTTCAAGCTCAGCATTACGAACCCCGAGGTCTGGAACGATGTCACATTCCCCAACGACGTTGTCAAGGAGGAGTTGCAGAGCTACATTGGCAAGAGGCTGACACCGCAGCCGACCAAGGTCCGGTCAGACATTGAGGGTATGTTGGAGGAGCACGAGTAATGTGGACGTCTTCGCTAATGTCTATAGTCACCTGCTTCGGATACGAGGGTATCGACGCCGTCAAGACCGCCCTGCGATGCGCCGAGGCCAAGAACACCCCCGAGAACCAGGTCAAGGTCAAGCTCGTATCGCCACCTCTTTACGGTACGTGATCGCGCTGCATACATCCTCATTCTCAACTAACTTCTGTAGTCCTCACCTCGCAATGTCTCGACAAGAACGCCGGTATCGCATGCCTCGAACAAGCCATCGTCGACATCAAGGAGAACATTTCAGCGGCCGGAGGCGACTGCCAGGTCAAGATGGCACCCAAGGCTGTCACCGAGAACGACGATGCCGAGCTGGCGGCGCTCATGGAGAAGCGTGAGCGTGAGAACCAGGAAGTCAGCGGTGACGAGGACGAGAGCACGAGCGATGAGGGCGGTGTTGCTGAGGCCGATTAAGCGGCTGGGAGAGGATTTGCATACGAGCGATGATGATAATGAAGACCAAGGGTATCTGCAAAAAGTGGGCATGGGCGTTTGAGGCGTCGATATGGTGGTTCACGAGCATGCATGCAAAGGCGTCTCGGCATGTACAGCACCTTGTCTTCAGCCACATGCATATATGCGTTTGAGCATAGAGGGAGTGTTAGACCAAGCGGATTCAGCAGCAAATCAACAATGAATATGCACTCAAGTCCCATATCTCAATCGTGGTCTCGGATGCGACGGCTTGGGATTAATTTGGCAGCAGTAGAGAGCTTGGGCCATTCGCAGGGTGGAGCGGGATGACGCTGGCTGGACTGGTGGATGCGCCCAGCGTTGTCAGCCAGGTTTTAGCCAACACTAGCACCGAGAACCTGGTCCTATCGTGGGTCCTGCTGCTTTGTTGTCGCGCTGTCACCGCAGCTTCTTCTCTGCTGAGATACTCTGCTCAGTGTGCCCATTGTTCTGTTGCGCAGTTTTGCTTTTGCAAGCTTTACGCTACCTCGGTACTTCGTTGCTAGGCACTTCCCGGAGCTCGACATAGCTCTCGTGAAGCTTGACAGACCTCCACAGGACATAGCTTCTACATACTTGCGCCGCCATCATGGTGCGGTGGAACGAGCTATTCAGTGGGGATGGCGATAGGCGACACAGAGTGCAGGATGAGATGAGCGCGCGTACGTCCTCTTATCGTTCTTATCAATCCCAGTACTAACATGTCCCAGTTCTTCCCACGTCGCGTCGCGAACACCTTCCCCCGCCGCCTATCGACCCCAAAGATGTTACTATTGTAGCTCTGCGATTGAAGCACCAGATCGAGCAAGTCGTACCGTGTGAGCTTGAAGAGGAGCAGATCACCCGGGCGCATAGCAGCATCATCACCGACAAGGTGCTAGAGACGGCCAAGCAAGCCGGAGCTCCTGAACACAATGCTTGCGTGGTCTTCTGCCTGCTGCAGGTGAAGAAATGGTTTAAGAAACAAGCCACCGCAGAGCTATGGGATGCCGACCTCCACGAAGTCCGCGCCGTGGCGGCAGAGATCATGGCCAAGCGCCTGATTGAGGCCGAAGAGGATACCACATACCTGTTTGAAGAGGTGCTGCTCAAGCGCTACTCAACACTGATTGACGGAGAGCCAACCACACCCGCCAATGCCGTTGAGAAGGCCGTCGATCTCCACGCCGTAACGGTCATCGGATCATCCGGCTACCAAAAGTGCATCAACTACCTGTGGCGCGGCTGGGTAGTCCAGGACGACGAGGACCCCAGTCGCTTCGTCACATACGAGAACAAGACCAATACCAGCTACTGGGCCCATCTCGACCCCGATCGTATGCGTGTCCCCAAGTACCAGAACTGGGTGCAGATTGCCGTGTCCATCATCTTCTTGGGTCTCTACACCGGTGCTATCAACACCATCAATCCCTCTGGTGACCTGGATGTGGTCGAAGGTCTGCTGTACCTCTTCACTCTAGGCTTCATCTGCGACGAGGCGAACAAGTTCTGGAAGGTTGGACGGTTTTACATCTCCTTCTGGAACATGTTCAACAGCACCTTGTACTCGCTTCTCACAGTCAGCTTTGTCTTGCGCATGGTGGCTCTTGGACACCCTATCAGCGACGAGAAGGACACACGACGCCAGTATCTGAACAAGATGAGCTACGACTTCCTCGCTTTCACTGCGCCCATGTTCTGGATGCGTTTGTTGCTGTACCTCGACACCTTCCGCTTCTTCGGTGCCATGCTTGTTGTGCTCAAGGTCATGATGCGCGAGTCGCTCATTTTCTTCATGCTACTGCTTGTCGTCATGATCGGTTTCTTCCAAGCCTTCATCGGTCTGGATATCGCGGACGATCAGCTTGCTAACGACACTGTCTTCGTGTTCCAAGCCATGTTGAACGCCGTCATGCAATCTCCTGAGTTTGAAGGCTTCGACAATTTCTCGGTATGTCACATCGTATGTGACTAAAGTCAAACACGAACTAACAAGTAGCAGCCTCCATTCGGTATCATTCTCTACTACATCTTTACATTCGTTGTAATGGTTATCCTGCTCAACGTCCTCATCGCCCTGTACAACTCGGCCTACGAAGACATCACTCAGAACGCCATCGACGAATACATGGCTCTCTTCTCGCAGAAGACGATGCAGTTCGTTCGCGCTCCCGACGAGAACGTCTTCATCGCGCCCTTCAACCTTATCGAGATGTTCTTCTTGATCCTTCCATTCGAGTGGTGGATGGACGAGAAGCGCTACGACAAGCTGAACGACATGGTACGTCCTTCCCCCTCGCACAAGCCCTCCCTTCCGCTGTTCATATGATGATTTCTATGTATTTGCTACTTCAGAGCTTCGGCTATGAGACCATTATCACCTAGTACTGATTACAGCATTCTTCCACAACGCATCCTCAAGTCGGTTTTAGGTGCACAGAAAGCTGACACAAAAACAGGTCATGGCAGTAATCTACTCGCCCCTCCTCATCATCACCGCCATGTTCGAACAACAAGAAGCCTGGGTCGTCAGAGACAACCGCCGCCGTGGCGAAGACGACGAAGACACAACCATGGAGTGGGAACAAATCCTCGATGGCTGTGACTTTGAAGCCGATGGTTGGGATAAGAAGGTTCAGGCTTCACGTCCCAATGTCGAATTCGACACTGCGGTGTTGGAAGTCAGGCAGCTGAGGAAAGAAGTCAGCGAACTAAAGGACATGATGAAGATGCTTCTCGAGGGCAAGAAAGAAGGCTGGGGCGGAGACACACTCGGCGAGAGCGGACTAGCAAAATTGGACGCAAGCAAACTGGGCATGCAAGGCGAGAGCAGCGAAAATGGGGGAAGGGATGAGTAAGTGCGATTTGCTTTGTGTCTCGCTGTCACCAGTGCTCTTTCTGTTGCTGCTATTCTTATTTGTCGAGTGCTGGTGTGTTGACTTTTTGGTGTATGTAGGCGCTATAGGAGCGAGTTTGGAGAGAGCCAGGCGAGTGACTGGCATTCTGATTGAGAGTGTACATTCGCTCTGTCGCTCCTCTTCTTCTTGTTCGAGTACATATTACGGAATGCTACGCGACGCGATACGATACGATATACGATATACGACACGGTGCGATGCGATAAGACACGATTGCCATACTCTGTTTATATACCCCTCCTTGATAACGAAACATCATGTCTACATTTATGCACGAATATACAAAAGGATCAAGCTCTTTCTTTCCTTTGGCACACATCTAATATGATCGAGCCGCATGTAAATCACCCTGCATCTGATCTTTGTCGCGCCCTAGTCACATGATACACATGCTCTGCTTTCCACACGTGCACGTCCAGATTTCAACTGCCACACAGTCCACACTCTCTTCTCTTTTATTTCCTTCACAACGCGTTGTTGAGAAATTACTATTTGCTTGTTGTCTTCGTGTCTTCTAAATGAAGTTCCTGGCTTGTGCAATCGTCGGTGCTGACAAGACGCGTGGCTTCCACCAATCAGCCGCGCCTCGGCATCTCCCACGTGTACCCCCTTTTGATCTAGCCCACACAACACATGTGCTATCTGCTACGTAGGTACCCACTTTCCCGGTTCCAGGTTCTCTCTCCTGCTCCTTTGAGGGACGCTTGGTGGTTCATTATGCCGTTGCGCCCGGTGCGGTTGCACTGCCACAAGGCTTATGTACCTGTCAAGGGGCCTGGAGGGGCCGAGCCACAGGGTCCCTTTAAGTACCGTGGGAGTCGCTGTTTGATGACTTTACGTCAAGACGACTTTCTGGATTATTTGATTTGACCGAACGACAGGTGTTGACTGAGGTCTTTGCTTTAATTGCGAGCAGACGCAAGAGTTGGGAAGCAGTACAAGGATGCGCATCGCCTTCGCTGACGATTCCTCATTTACGCCTTTCCTCTCTCCTTTCTTCATATCTCCTTGATTGTCACCAGGAAAGAACCCTTAATCAACGTCCTCATCACCTCAATTCGTCGGCAAGATGTCAACAACTTACCTAACCCCCCTCACAACAAACACAACAACCAAACGCTCCGCCTCCGCGCCCCCGCCAAGCCGGACACTCTACACCTTCCAAGAAGTCCACCCTTGGCAACGCGACAATGAGTACCTGAAGAATCATTATCGATGCACCACCAATTCCTACCGCGAATGTCTGAAAAGCTTGTCGTATCTGCACAACCAGACTGGAAACATCTACACGCATCTCATTGGCGCCGTCTTCATCCTCTTCTACGCCATCTACGCCTACAGCAATATCAGCAGCCGTTACGAGACTGCCAATATCAACGATTTACTGGCTTTTGGGGTTTTCGTGGGGAGTGCCGTGGTGTGTTTTGGCGTTAGTGCTACGTTTCACATGTTTGGAAATCACAGCAGTAAAGTGTATCATACATGGTTGCAATTGGACCTGTATGGAATTTTCGTGTTGATCGTCGGCACGGTGTATTCGGGGACTTATTATGGTTTCTATTGTCAGAAACAATACTGGGTGTTGTATTCGGCTGGGGTAAGCTCCATTCCTATTCTGGAGTACGTGAGAGATGTGGGAAGTGTGTTTGCTGACTGGGGTATAAAGATTACCTCGATTGTTACGGGAGCCGCGACACTTTGTTCGATACCAAGGTTCCGGACGCCGAAATGGAGATGGGCCAGGGCTACGCTGTTTTGTGCGATTGGTTGGTCGGGCGCGGTTCCCATGACGCATGCGGCTCAGGCGTTTGGAAAGGAGCAAGCGGATAGGCAGATGGGGTGGAGGTTGATGATTTTTGAGGGCCTGTTTTATATCACAGGGGCTTTTATCTATGCGGTGAGTATAAAGGGAAAACATATCCTTGGGGTGCATTGTCGCTAACGCTCTTCACAGATCCGCTTCCCAGAGAGATTTCGTCCGGGACTTTTTGATATCTGGGGTTGCTCGCATCAGATATTCCATCTTTGTGCTGTCGGGGGCGCGGCGCTGCATTTAGTGGCGCTGCTGAAAGCGTTTGATTACAATCATGATCCGGCGACACGGATATGCTGAAGGTACCCACTTTGAAGCTATAGAGCAAAAGTCTACTTTATCCATGCACACTGCTCGTTCAAGACTCCATCTTCTCCTTCATTCCCAACGCTCGACCTTAATAAACGACCTTCGTCGCCCTTTCAGCTTGCTCATCGCTCAGGTTCCCTAAGCTACCTGTCATCATCCCGCGTGCACTAAGTTCAAGAGCCAGGAGCCAGTAGAGATGATCAACCCCGCCTTCGACCCCACCAGCGGAGACACTTCCAAAAGGTCGAGTACCGTCTCAACACCATTGTATGCCTCTAGCAAAGCTGGTGATATGTCCGTGGAGAACAAGACCACCGTCATCGTAGGCGCGGGATCTACTGGTCTGTGGACTGCCTATCATCTCGCTCACGCAAATCGTCGAGCCGGTCTCTCGAGCAGCACTACCATCATCGTCATAGAAGCATCAGCGAGCGTATTCGGAGAGACGTCCAAATCATGCGCAGGATGTATTCACTACGAATTCAACGATAAATTCATGGATAAGTTCGGGACGTACAGCTTCGCATCTTGGCGTGATTCGGCAGAGAGCAACGAGCTGTGTGACACCGCTGGACTCCGCTTCGATTCCATTTTTGGTTTGACTAAGAATGATGGAGATGGTCAAGCGCTTTTGTCAGACTGGCTTCGAACAAACGATGCGTGGGGGGTTCGACACCGAATTCTTGGGGGCAAACAACGCAATGGCAGGAGCATGTTGTACATGCATCACCTTCTTATGCTAATCAAATTCGTTGGATCAACCCAGCCGGCCCCGGCAAATGGCCTAAAAGAGCATGTATTGATATAAACGTTCGTATTGGGACTTTCACAAGGGTTACTGCTGTCGTGTTAGACGAAGCAAATCAAGCCACTACAGTAGTCGTCGTTCAAGAAGATACATCGGAAGTCAGAATTCCGTGCGACAACTTCGTTTTGGCCGGGGGCCTATGGACTCCGATGGTTGACAAAACGCTGTCTCCCTCGTCCTCGATCCAGATCGTCTCAGCCACAGAGGCGGGCGACTGGATCGTCATCCAAAGTCAGCATCCTGTCGTGAGGAAGTCGGTGGCTTTTGGGGGCTTGAATGACATCGTGGGAGAGAAGTTGAAATTCGCAAGTCGCAACGACGGAACGATCTGGACTTGGGGAGCAAAAGATCAGAACGGCACGCAACCTCCATTATGCTCGAGAAGTCCACCAGATGCTGCAAAGTTTGCGGATCTCACACATCGCGCCTACCGTATTCTTTGCGTTAACAACGCTGAGGGTCCAGACGCGTTCAAGGAACTAGAGTTTATTGTGCTCGGACGGGCATTTCGACCCGTCACACTTTCAGGGTGTCCAATGATGACTGTGGACGAACCCGACAAACTTTCGCATCGCGATTGCCTTCATGTAGATGGAAGACGTGGCAATGTATTTTTGTGCTGTAGGCATGGCTCTTGGGGCCTGACCCTTGGGCCGGGCACGGCATGGGAAAGTTGATGAGTCAACTGATCCTGGGTGAACCTAAAGATCTTGATCTCTCACCATTTCAGATTCTAGAGACTACGTAGAATACGACTCGGGAAAGCATCTCTTATGTCACTTGTTTTGATAGAACTTCCAAGAGCAATAAACCTTATCTGTATCGGTTGCGGATCCTCTGATTCCGTCCAGCGGCTTGTTGACAAGTCTGTTGAGGACCGAGTCGTGGTTTTCCATCGCCTCCAGCGGCTCCGAACCTTTCTCGCAGCAATCGCGATGTCTAATGTTTTCCATGAAGCATGCGAGCATATCCTTGGCAATCAGACGTTTCGCAGGGTCATCGCTCAAAGTCTGACGGATATTGTTCAAGATATTGGCATCCATACAATTCCTGCCCTTTTCCCTAAATCTCTCTTCCGCGGTCGACAATTGGCTGTAGAGTTGGTCCAAGTTGCCTTGATGTGACTTGTCTTGCGTTCTGGTGCTGTCAATGAGCTCTTGAAGCTGTTCGACCTCATGTGGATGGAGTACTGTGGCCATTTCATAGAAAACGCAGCTTAGTGAAAAGATGTCGGCGGCTAGTCCTCGCATATCCTGCCGAACGACCTCTGGAGCAGCGTACGTGCGAGTAAAGGAGGTGTGACCATCTGTTTCCACTGCCTCCCAAGAATCGTACGACCGTGCAATGCCGAAGTCTGCGATGTAGACTCTATAAGATAGTGGTGTGCCTTATTGACATGCGTCTCCCGCACAAGGACATTCTGCGGCTTGATGTCCATGTGTTTTGTGAGATTGCGATGTATGTATTCAACGGCACTCGATAGACAGACAAACATCTGCCTAAGGGTTGAAATGTGATTGAAGTGCCAGCAGTCGTAGCTGGTCGTACCTTTTCGGGCTACTTCTAGGAATTCGTCGAGGTTGTAGTCTGCGACAGGTTAGAGCAGAATGGATAGATGCCGGGTTTTGACATATGTTCCGATGTCACGCAAGATGTGTGCGTGGTTGAGGCGCGTGAGGTGCGTGACCTCCTTGACGGCTTCTTCCTTCGCCATAGTGTGTTTCCCACAGGTGATGGTTTTGCGCACGAGGAGGATCCTGCGACATCTAACACTTTGCACTGTATCAGTACACGTGCTGCCGAGATCATCTTGAACCTCTAGGATGCTGTTGATTAAGCTTTGCTCGTCTTTCTCAAATTTCGCATGCTGTCCTCTTTCCGACCAATTCTGTTCCACCATTGGATCAACGGGCCAAAGCTTTTGTGTTCGCGGTAATTGAGCGTATTCGTCACTCCTGTGAACGAGTATTAGCATTCACGCATTGTTTTAGGCGCAGTGTCACTGTATCACTCACTCTTGAAGTTCTTTACGCACAATCCTAGTGCCAGTCCTGCCCAAGCGCGACAAAGCTGTGTAATACGTGGAGTTGGAAAACGCGACAGATGCACCAGGCTTCGACCATCGCTGTGGGGGTTCTCGTCGGACCAGCTCAGCGATAGAGTCTGGCGTCTAGGCTACAGATGAAGGAATTGGAGCTTCATCTCCCGACAAATGTTCTGCAAGCTCTTCCTGTGCTTCCAACTCGATCTCCACGAGCGGCCACCTTGGATCCTCAATCCTTTAATAAGCAGAAAGGGTGTCTACCACAGCATCTTCGGAAGCAGCCACAAGCTCAAATTTGGCTGCAGTATGATCTACTTTTGTATGGTCGGTGCAAGGTGTCCGTTTTTGCGAATTTGTCCAGTGACATGCAATCTCCCGAGGGAGCTCATCACTCGTCGTATTGGCCATGATGACTCGAATCCCACGGCTTGGGCGACTCGCTCAAATGGATTCCTGATCCGGCTAGATGGCTCTAGCGACAAATCTCAAGGGTGTTGCCGATGAAGGGTAAAAAAGAGGGTCGTGCGCCTCAGCGTCGTGACCCGGTGAACTCTGGGAGTGGGTAGTCGTTTGAGTGCCTGGGATAAAATCCACGTGTGAGTCTAGAAGCCCGCAGACTCATGCAGCAGTTGTGTTTGAGGTGGAGAAGGGTATCGCTGTGACTACCTAGATATGCACAGTCAGGTGGGACAGAAGGTGAGTCTGCGAGGCTTGCACATATCAGGATTTCCTTCGCCACTCGCTTATCCCCATACACCAGTCAAGTTTCATTGCGGGGAACCAGCTCCGTACGCACCTTCATCCATCGACTATCGCGATAAGACTCTGCACTCTCTTAGATTGTAAAATGTGACGATGCTACCTAGGTATGGTTAGAACAGTAAATGCACGGAAAATTATCCAGACTCAGGTTCAACGCGTATCTCGTTGCCCAGGCAGAGTAGCTGCGCAATGTATAAGCAGGCTGCGCTGCTCAATGTTGGGTTGGGGTTGGGAGCCATGCGCACTAGATCTGCTCTGGCTAGCGTTCTTTGCGCTGCGGACGTCCAAGGTCTCTCGCAAGTGATACTAAATCTACACGAGGAGACTTCGTATCTTGACAACCTGAAAATCACTCTAGAGATCCGGATTTCATGCTATGATGTAAGATGGATAATGCAAGTGCTTCAAGTGCGGCAATTACGTCATCAGGCATCCATTGCCGCCTAGATACGGATGCTATTCAATATGACAGCTGACAGCGTGCCACTGCTTCAAATTCTTGTCAATCATACAGTCTTTTCTCACCAACATGTTATTGTATGCATGACGATGTCAGAACAGCCAGCTCAGTCAAAAGCAACGTCCAATCCAGGCGCAGACACGCCATTCTTCAACCGCGACGATGTTCTACGCAGTCCAAATGAGACGCTCCACGACAAAATCGTAGTCCTCGCCGTCCAATTCGCCATTATGGGATACAGCAAAACAGCGTCGGATCTCATCTCCAAACTCAACAAACATGACTGGCACCACGCATACCCTCATCGTGTACAACCTCTCCACCTGCTCTGGGACTTGCTCGGCCAATGGCCGGAAGGCGAGCTTACCCGTGTGCACGAAGAGATTCAAGACGACAGGCAGCGAAGAGCGGAGCAGAGAGTCATCGATCTCGAAGGCGAGGAGACGAATAAGAAAGTCAAATTAGAGGTGGAAAAGAGCCCGATTACAGATGAAGATGTCAAGGAGTATGTGAAGAAGATGTACAGTAGTTATACAACGTGCTGGTGGTACCCGGCACGACCGCAAGTCTGGTCATATTACAAGAAAGAGGATCTGCCGCTAAGTCCGCACGATCCGAAACTCAAGCTCTCGGCTGAAGAGGTGAAAAAACGGATACAGAGCTTGCTGGAAGCAATTGAAGAGCAGAAAAAGACTCCTGGAAAGTTGAGACCTGGTGCCGAGTCTATGGTAATGTCTGGGGAAGCACTAGTGAGCGCTCTGGACCTGCGCATCCGATTGCAAGCGATGGACTCGACTGAATTTGCAGACGTGCCCTCTGCAGAAGACATCCTGAGCAGGATCGTGAAGGATCTGGGCGAGAGAGGTGTGCTGAACGAATTGATACAGTCACAACGAGCCTGGACGTTACTAAAAGACGGCATCCTCATCAAACTCCTCAACATCAACAAGACCAAGCTTGACCTCATCGCCTCAGAACTCGAATCCGCCATAACCCAGCGCCTAGAAACCGGCCGCCAACACGCACCAACCCCTTCCATCGCATCCCTTCTCTCAACTATCAACACCAACACTCTCACTCACCCCGACTCCATCGAATATTTCCAAGAGATGGATCGCCCAATCCCCACCACCATCCTGCACAATCCAGCCTCCTCATCCGTCATAGCCGAAACAGAATCCCGCCTTGGCACCACGCTCCCAGAAGACTATAAAGAGTACCTGCGCATCACCAACGGCAACGACGCAGCGTTTGGCGGCATCATCCGTGAAGCCCCGCTATTCAAGTGCGAAGACATACGCTGGATCGACGATGACGAAGACTACTTCAGCGATCTGACCCTCGAAATCCCGCACAACAGCACGCGCATCGCGAACGCATTATCCGGCGACGGCTTGGACTGGCCGGAAGTCGGAAAAGGCATCGTGATTGGGTCTGAGGACATTGACTACACGTTCCTGATTACGCCCGAGACAGTCAAGGAGGTGAAAGACCGCGTAAGCTCGATTTTGGAGGACGATGACGCCGGCGAGGACGTTAAGCAGAGCTTGAAGGGTGCGGTGGAGGATTTCGCGGGGAGTGTGCAGGCGTTTATGGAGATGGAGTGGTGTTTGGTCACGTGGGCGATGCAGATGGAAGGGCGTAGTAGCTTTACGGCGTACTTGAGTCATGTGGCGGAGCATAGTAAGCAAGTGGAGAAGGATTGTTGGAATATTGGGTATGGTGAGTTTTTTGGGTACATGCTGGTTGATAAGGCGGGGGAGTCTTGATCTGTGCCTCAAATCTAGTCGTTAGGATGTTTCTAATTACTGATTTGTTTTTCTGGCGCTCTGAATTAGAATAGCGTTCAAGCCATACCCTTCCCTCGTCCTAGTCATCGTCCTCTGCCCCACCCTCTCGCGCTCTTCCCACCTCTTGCCGCTTTCTTCGGTGACGCCCAATCCGTGATATCCGTGAGATCGGTCTCGCTCTCACTCCCCTCGGCGAAGAAGTGACTCTTGACATGTGCATCGCTCTTGCGCGCAGCCTTCCGCTTGGGCGCTGCGCGAGTGGACGCAGGCGGGGTCGGTGGAAGGTCAGGTATTGCAAGGTCTTCGTCATCCAATGAGTCGACCAGCATCGACTTGCGCTTGCGTGTACTAGCTGGCGTGGCTTTGGTGGCGCGACTTCGAGCGCGACCTCGGGTGGCAGTAGTCTTGCGACGCGGTGGTGGAGATTCATCGCCCGAGTTTTCTTCGGTGTCGGCGGGTGAATCTAGATCCACAATCTCGTCCTCATGGTCGTCTGGTGCACTGCTTTGGTCTGCTGGCTGCTGTAAGGTGGATGTGAGCGACATAGGCGTCTGGTACGACGACTCAACCACAGATCTGTGGGTCTCGGCTTCTGTATTACCGTGATCGATGGTCAGATCACCATGCTCTGGCTCTTCTTGACTGGCAGCGAAGAAGCCGCCTGCCATGTCCCCATCGTCGAAACGAGCTTGACCTGGTGCTTCTCGCACAAGGGTACTGTCGGCTGGCTCATCTTCACGGAGAAAGCCCCCTTCGAAGTCGTCGTGGTTCTGGAAGACCTCCCACTCGGACTTGTTCTCCTTGCTTTTGGCTTTTGGCACAGGCTCGGCCTTCTTCGGCGGAAGTTCGACGTCTTCACCATACTCCACTTTCATGCGCTCGACGATGCGCAAGCTGCTCAGGAGCTTCTTCTACGTCTTTAACACAAGCAACTGCCGTTTCTCTGCTTCCTTCCTCGCTCTCTCAGCTTGTTCGACCTCCCAAGCATTGATAACTATTTTCTTATTCTTTACTGCTATAACAACACTAGTAATAATAGGTACAGCGCGCTGCTTTCTAAACTTAAAGCTAGTGCATGCTTCTGCGTGTTTAATGTTAAGCTTTTAGTAGATGCGTGCTATGCCTCTTAGCAGTATGTAGACAGTACTCTCTAGAACTGTTATGGGCACGTAAATATTAATATTTTTGAAAGCGTTCTAGGGAATTTTACTATCTGTGATAGAAGGTAGTATAATCTAGTCTATCTAAAACTTTGTGTACAAGCTCTGCTTTAGCTTAATACTCTTATTACGCGTCTACTCTTTAATCTTACGCTTTTAGGTAACAGTTACAGCGCGTGTAGGTAAAAACTTTAGCAGCTACTAGCCTTTCTTAACTTTTCTACTTTCTTTATACTATAACTTTACTATCTTATAATTAATAATATCTTTTTAGTAGTATATAGGTTCTAACTCCTCTTTATTACCTTTGCCTATAATAAAGTGTTGTACAATCTTTACGTATTACAGCGCTAGCTAGCAAGAAGCGCTAAGAGTTATACTGCGCTCTAATTAGCTATATAGATTTTAGGTGCCTTACTAGCAGACCTAAAATTTATAATACTAAAATTCTTACACAAACACGCTCTGCTATAAGCTTTTTAAGCTACGTTCTTGTCTTAGCCTAACCTTATACTATTAGTAATACGTAGTAAATATACTAATTATATATACCTATTATTTTTACCTACTAACTCTCTATAATATTACGTAGCTTCTTTTTATAAGTGCTCGCTCTAGCAAAGCTACTATAAAGCGCTCTAAATCTTCTACAACTTTAGACTTAGCTAAAGCTCTTATAGCTAAAGTATAGAGAGACTCTAATGCCTAGCTACTATACCTATATAATAACTATTAGTACTTATAGAGCCTTAAGAGCTCTCTAAGCAACGCGCGCGCTACTAAGTAGAAACTCTAGTTCTCTATTATTAAGCGTAATAGAATTATCTACTACTAGAAAAAGCAACTTACTACTAACTAGAAGTAGATTACCTAGCTTAAGATTAAGAAGTTCTATCTTACTACTACTACTAGCTCTACTATATAGACTCTCTATAAAGCTACTACTCTATCTCTCTAAGCTATAGCTAAAGCTTACGCAGATAATCTAATAAGACTACCTACACTTATTACTCTTTTAGGTTCTAGAACTACTAGCCTTAGTAAGAAAATACCTAACCTAAAAGAATTTAACAGAACTTATAGTAACCTTTAGTAGTTTATCTAGTAGATATATAGTAAAATAAACGCAAACACTAATTACTTTCTATAAGCTATAAGTTAAATAATCTATATTACTAGCTATCTTATAGAAAGCGCTTATACGCTTATACTACCTAAAATCTAATATAGTATTCTCTAGTTTGTTAACTACCTACAAATACTAGAGTATTTAAAATAAGCTTTTAGAGATTCTAATTAGGCTTAGAATACCTAGAACAAGCTATTCTAGCTATAATAAAAGAACCTTAACTTTAGTGCTTATTTCTCTAAATTCTAGTAACTAGTTTTAGAGAGAGAGATGCTAGAGAGCGCTCTTACTCTCTTACTATTCTAGAGTATATTCTATAAGCTATAGAATATATTACTCTATAACCTACCTCTATCTTAAAAATTCTCTGCCTACGCTAGCTACTTATAGAAGCTTAATAACTACTACTACTAGCACTAGCAATAGGTTGCCTATAAGCCTTAGAACTTACTTACTAGAACTACATATACTACTTACGCCTTTACTACTAGACTAACTCTTATACTAGACGCGCTTATTAGATAAATAAGCTCTCTCTACTCTATAGTACTAAGTAGCGCACTAATATATAAACCTATAGACTTTAGTCTATAAAAAAACTCTTTAGCAAATAGCTACAAAGAGAGAGGTAAATACTTCTATTATAGGTTAAAGAACTACTAAGTAGCTCTCTACTCTAAACCTAACACCTACCTTTTTACACTCTACTAATTCTCTAGCTCTTCTATAGCTCTATAGTCTCTCTATATATTCTTACTCTATATTCTCTATTCTACTAGCTCTCTACACTCTTCTCTAACTTACTAGATAACTAGCCCGCTACCTAGCCTAGACTACCTATTAAATAGAATAAGCCTAAACTAAGTTACGTTTAGACTCTAAAGTTATATAACCTAGGCTAGCAGCTCTTAGTTTGCCTCTCTAAGGTATTAGTTAAGAGGCTCTTAGTGTATAAAGAAAGTAACTAGAGATCTAATATAATAATCCTACCTATTACGCTAGGAATAGAGAAGAAAACAATACTAATATATATAATAACTAACTCTAGCGCAGAGAGTAAGAGGTTTATAAACTAAAGCTAAGCAGAAAGCTATAAGCTACCTCTATAGAAACTAAAGAACTCTTTTAGTATTATAATATTTAATAGTAACCTATCTAAGTAGAGCACTATTACGCACTACGTTAAGGCTACTATAAAAGTAGAAGATTATACTAAAACTATCTACTTAAATATAACGCAGCTAGCGCACTACTCTATAATTCTAGAGATACTCTAGCTAAAACAACACAACCTAAGAATTAGCTTTACTAGCTACACTCTAATATTTAAAAGCAAGTACTATATAATAGACTAAAGCCTAGTTAGTAAATTCTTAATAATATCTTAGTTACGCGTACAAGCGTATAGTTTGCGATTGTACACGTCTAAATAATACTTAGACTAAACCTCTAAAACTTAGCTAAAGGTTAATCTAAGCTGCTACTAATTAACCTTTAGAACTTAGGTAGCCTATAGTTCTTCTCTCTCTATTAAATATAACTTTAGTATACCTATGTAATAGCTCTCTAAGTATAGCTCTTTACATTTTATATTTAATTCTAATTAACAAAGCCTTACTACAAGACTCTATTAACGCAACGCGCGTTAAGCTTCTTAACTACCTCTTTATTATATATAAGTAGGTTAATCTACTATATAGAATTAGTATTACTCTATTACCTAAAAGGCTTTTAGATAATAACTAGATAATCTACTACAAGGTAGTAAGTTTATTAGAGCAACTCTTTATAGAAAGTAGTTACTAGAGGTTAACGCGTTGCGATAAACTAGTAAAATAAGTAGTAGCTAGCTAGAAGTAAGCCTTAATAGAAAGCTCTATAGATACCTTAATAGTACTAAAGTATAGGTTTTACTAGTAGCAAGAAATACTATAAAGTAGTAAGTAGTAGTAGTTAGAAAGTTCTATAATCTCTTTAAAAGCTAAAGAGATAGGTCTAGCCTACTATAGTATATAAGAACTTTCTAAAGGCTAGTTAACGCTATAAGAAAGATAGCTATACCTACGTCTACTACGTAAGTTCTATTAGTTCTCTATTAAACAGAGCATAGGCTACAATACTATATTAAAGTACTAACTAGTGCGAGAATTGTAAGCGTAAGGTAACTAGGTTACTAATAGTTATAATCTATAATAACTACTAAGAGTTATTTAGAAGCCTTACTATTAAGAGTAAGCTGCGAAAGCTCTATAATAGTAATAGGCTACTATAAGCTCTACTAGTTCTTACTATAGAGAAGTAGGCTACTACGTAGTAGCTTATAAGAAGCTAGCTATTAGTATATAAATAATTAATAAAAGAATACTAATTAAAAGCTCTATAAGAAAAGTAGGCACATATACATAAAGATAAGCCTTCTAATAAAAGATCTAAAGAAAATAGATAACCTACCTAACCTTAACACAGAAGAGCTGTTAGCCTATACGTTAGCTAAGCACCTTACTAGTGTACTAGATAGTAAGATATAAGAGAGCATTATTAATATACTTAAGAGTAATAGGTAGAAGAACACTATAATAGTACTAATAATTAATAAAATTACTAAATATACTAAGAAAACTAAAAAGTTACCTAAGAGCTTACTAAAGGCGTCTTAGAACGCGACTGTAGTAATAATAGCTACCTTAACTTAGCTTACCTAGATAATAGCTCTAATTACCTTACGTTTAGAAACACTAGAATAATAGAGTACTTAATTAACCCTACCTACGCATACACTAGAAGACTAATTAGAACAAGATACGTTACTAGTACACCTAGAGGCATACGCAAAGACAAAGTACCTCTACCTAGAGCTATTTAATAGAGATAGGTTAAAGTACTTTTCTTTTAGGTATAAGATAAAAGCTAAGCTATATAATAACTATTAAGGCGTACCTAATAGAATAAAGATTACCTATATAGTTAGCTATTATTCTAACAGAGCCTTAGACATTATTCTTTCTTAGGTAGAATAACACTAAGAGTATAGTTCTATTAAGAACTTATAGCACTTTCTTAACTAGTAATATAATAACTCTTACCTTAAGACAAAGGCCTTAGACTAGCTCTTAAACCTATAATAAAAGAAACGTCTAATTTAAGACTACTATATAGAGTTTAACTAGTTAGAACTCTAATTAGATATATAGATTAGCAATATCTAGAAGAAGAGTATATTCTCTAAGAGACTTAACATTAAGATCTAGAAGACTTTAGTTCTAGTAAATAAAGACCTCTTGTTTAAACAATTTACGCGCAAAGCAACTTACGTATTAGATAGCCTATACTAAGTAAATATAGCAACACGCCGCTAAAGAGAGTTTAGTCTATAGCAAAACTACAACTCTTAATAGTAGAACTAGAATAGCGTAAGAACACTCTTACTACTAGAGAATATAGACTAGAAACTAATAAAGATTAGTAAGGTAAGTGCAAGAGATAAGAGGCTAAACTATAATTAGATTAAATACTACTTCTACAGAAAGAAAGAATATATAGCTAGAAACTATAATAAGAGCGCAAGAGCAAGAAGCACTAAGGTAAGTAGAGTAGTATAGCGTAATCTTTCGCCTACTTATAAGTGCTATACAAAAGCAGAAAGTAATAGTAACTTAGAAGAGTTAGAAAAAGAGTAGCTCTAAACTAGAGTCTTAGTTTAGAGTCTCTAAAGATAGATTAGTAGATAAGTAGTAAATAAAACTAGTTTTAACACTATTATATAAACACTCTACCTCTTATAGCACACTTAATTATAAACTCTATATATAACGCTACTACATTAATAGATAGTAAGTATTTATACTATATATTAGTTAGTAGAAAGTTTATATACTAAAGCTACCTTAAGCACTTTATAATTACCTCTTAGATAATTAAAGAAATTAATAGAAAGTTATTAAGAATTAAAGAAGTCTCTTAATTTAAGTTTAATATATATAGACACTAAGAGGTTGCCTACATATATATAATTAATAATATAGACAAGAACGTTATTCTAGAAAAAAAGTAGATA